CATTAGAGGAGGCAAGAGGCAGAGGGGCTTGCCTCTACCTTATTTCTCCTTGTAGGAGGTTCTAAAGTACTCCCTGGGGAGTCCTCCCTGGGGAATGCTCCCTGGGAGTTTCAAGGGCTGAACCAATCCAAAGGAGAGTCACTTTTGCTTCCCAGGGAGGCATCATAATTAATGGTTTTCACATTACATTAGTGGGGGAAATACAGAGATAAACTCGGTGAGCTGGTCTACATAAGGAAAGGGCTTGGGAAGTTCATCAAACCGACCTTGACCCCTTTGGAGGAGCAGCCTGGCATAAAAGCAGCCAGATGGACTAAAATCTTGCTATTCGAAGTGTAATCTCAAGGCAAAGAGGCATCATCCTAGCTCATTAAAATACAGACTCTCCTGAGCCCCGCCTTGGGCTGCTTAAACACAGACCTGCTTTTGTTTTGTTTTGTAGTGCTGGGCCTCTGCACTAAGAACATTGTAACAATGTGAATACTAGGCCAACCCTCCACTACTGAGCTCCATCTGCAGCCCCAGCTCCTAGATTTCAAGATGAACTCCAGGTTACCCAACCATCACCAGCCTGGACCAGGCATTTCCGCATTTCCATTTTGTGAGACCGGAAATCAGAACATCAGAGCGTTTTGCTGTCCTTTTTTAAACAGAGTCTAAACTATACCCCAGGCTTGCCTGAAACTCATGTCAACCCTCCTGCCCCAGCTTTCAGAGAGCTGAGGTGTGCCAACTTGAAGGTTTTCTTTTTGATAACCTTCAGGAGGAAGGTGCGATGAGAGAGCAGCAAGTAAGATACAAACATCCTAAGAAATTGTGTAGTGTTTGGTGCTGTAGCAGTCATGGGGCAGGAGCTGGCCTAGAGGCTCCTGACCTTTGATTGGCTCCAGTTCCTGGCACCGTTAGGCCCTGAGATGGTAAGTTCCTGGCAGACTAGGCTCCCAAGCAACAGTTTGAGTAATCCTGTGATTACTCAGCTCCCACTCCCCAAACTGGGTTCCCATGGCCTGCTGTTCAGTCACTGGCTCACCCTGTAAGGAAGACTTCAAGGTTGGCTGTCAAAGGTGTTTCTAAGCTCCTCTCACCACTCCCTACCAGCCCTCCCCCCTCCTTTCTTCCCCCCAGTTCTCTCTCTCTCTCTCTCTCTCTCTCTCTCTCAGGCATGCATGTGCTTTCTTTGATATTTAAGTGTTTAGGGTGGATGGTACTCAAGAGAGTGGAGGAAGGGGTCTGTGGACTAGAGAAAGACCAGAAGCCGGATCATGTCGGGAACAGGACCAGGACACAGCAGGAGTTTCCCTCTGTTTCTGTTGTCTCTCCATTGCTGTAACTGACGGTTTCCCCCCCAATCCCCAACCTCTTAGTCTTTCTAGCTCATCTGGCTAGAGGGGCGAGCACAGAGAGCTCTGATTCTACGTGCGGTCTCATTGTGGACCACTGCCTTGGACTGATGATAGGGAACACAGAGGAGGGGCTGGGCTAGTAGCTGGAATCCGGGGCTCCCACAGTCCCCAAATCTCCCAGTCTTTGACTGACTAATCTCTTAAGACAGGCAGGGTCTTAGTCACACTGTGCTAAGGTCCCTGGACTAGGACCAGCAGTGGGTCAGGTACGGGACAGGGAGGTAGGACTGGGGTCATCCATGCGGTCAGTGTACACACGCACACGGATGTGGCTCTTGGAGAAGGGAAGAGGTAGGGAGGCCTGTGGTTGCCTGCTGGGCCAGGGCCTGAGTTCCCACTGTGGCTTGGCCTAATCTCCCTACCACTTGCTTTTCTGGGTGACCTATGTTGGTTTCCCCCCTCTCTGGTCTTAGGGCCACTGAAGAGAGATATACCACAGTACATAGATGAGAAGGTATTGGGCAGGAGCAAAGCCCGTGGGCCAAGGTGCTTCAGCCAGCCTGCCGTGCCCATCAGTTTGCTTTGTCTCAGACAGCAGTAACCAGCCCTTGTAATGTTCTGCTCCTCCACAGCGCCCCCCCAGAACTGTACGACCTACCCGACAGACAGTGTTACTTTTGCCCTCGTTGGCTACCCGAAGGAACTGAGTTGAGAGTGCTGTGAGTGACTGGAAGTGTGTGTGCCCCCACACTTTCCGCCCCTCTTCCAGGCACCCAGGTCCCCTCCTGTTCTCTCTTCCCCCCAAGCGTTAAAATCAACCTGTAACTTACAGGAAACAATCTGAAAGGTGCACTTGCAGTCTGGTAGGGCAGCTTATGGTGCCGTTGTGGGGTGGCACGTCCGACTGGGGGTGGGTCAAAGACCTGAGTCTTAGTGCAAGGGTTTCAGACACTCATGTGCTGGGTCCCTTTAAGAGACAGCTACTTAATCTGACTCAGCTCTAGGCTGGCTTGAGAAGATCGTGGTTTAACGATGATGGAATATGCTGGGCATTGATCCCAGCACTCCGGAGGCAGAGGCAGGTGGATCTCTGTGAGTTCGAGACAAGCCTGGTCTACGGGAGCTAGCTCAAAGACAGCATCCAAAACCACAGAGAAACCCTGTCTCGAAACCCCCCACAAAAGAAAAATCTTAAAAAAGGATGATGGAATATTTTGGGAAGTGGTGGGCACATCCCAGTCTACCTCTCTCCCTCCAATCAGCAGGCCTATGTGTGGTTTTGTTTTTTGAAACATGTCTTGCATATTTCAGGCTAGCCTAGAACTCAGTGTGTATCCAAGAATAATCTAGAACTCCTGATTCTCCGTCGTCCACTTCTTAAATGCTGGGATTACAGGGATGTACAGCCCCACTCAGCTCCCAGGCACACGTGTAACCAGGCAACAGGCCCAGGCTGGAAGTGAGCTTGCTCTCCGTGAGGCACTTCCTCTGTCCCTACAGTGGGAGTCATGTCACAGATGAGAAGTAACTTTAGACCTTTTTTTTGGGGGGGGGGTCCGAAATAGGCTTTTTTTTTCTGTGCAACAACATTGACTGTCTAATCTCAGCACTCGGGAGGTAGAGGCAGATGAATCTCTGTGAGTTTGAGACCAGCCTGGTCTACAGAGCAAGTTCCAGGACAGCTTCCAAAGCAATACAGTCTTGAAAAAAAAACAAACAAAAAGACAGCAACAACATTGGCTGTCCTGGAACTGGCTCTGTAGACCAGGCTGGCCTCAACCTCACAGAGATCCACCTGCCTCTGCCTGCCCAGTGCTGGGACTAAAGGTACATGCTACCACACCCAGCTTATCTAGCTCCCTCTCAAGCAAGGACTGGAAGAGGGACTCTTGATGTCCCTTGAAATGCTGCAAAAGCTGTAGGCACTGACAGTGATAAGACAGAGTAAAGGAAACCAGGCTTGGAGCGGCAGCCACCGCAGAGGGCGATCAGGCAGATCAGGCCACACTCTGAGTTCAATGGGAGTGAAAACTTGGTTTTTTTGTTTTGGTTTGGTTTTTGGTTTTCAGTTGTTTGTTTTTGGCTTTTCAAGACAGTTTCTACTGTAGCCCTGGCTGGCCTTGAACTCAAAGATTCATCTGCTCTGCCTCCTGAGTGACAGAATTAAAGATGCACACTACTGGCAAAAAAAACTTGGGTTTCCGTGGTCAACAGGCAAGATCTACCTAACAAATACTCACACGTGCCCTGGTACAATTTACGATCCATCCACAGGCCACATATACTTTCTTTCCTTTTTCTCTTTCTTTTTTTCTTGAGACAAGATCTCACTATTAGCTGGGCCTAGGTGGTGCATGCCTTTTAATCCCAGAACTTGGAGGCAAAAGCAGGTGGATCTCTGTGAGTTCAAACCCAGCCTGATCTACAGAGCAAGTTCCAGGACAGGCTCCAAAGCCACACAGAGAAACCCTGTCTCGGAAAAGAGAGAGAGAGAGAGAGAGAGAGAGAGAGAGAGAGAGAGAGAGAGAGAGAGAGAGAGAGAGAGAGAGAGAGAGAGATCTCACTATGTAGCCCTGGCTAGCCTGGATCTTGATGTGTAGATCAAGCTGGCCTTGAACTTACAGTGGTCTACCTGCCTCTGCCTCCCTAGTTCTGGGATCAAAGGATGTACCATCATGCCCAACAAGCCACATATACTTTTCATGAGTGCACACACAGGCACACACAAGTATGCCTTCAAACATGTCAAGAAGCCATGCACATAACACAAAATGAATAACTGTCCAGGAGGGTGGGGTTGGAAACCTGGCACTCAAGCAAACTAGCTGTGTGAGCCTGAGCTAACTAGTTCTTCATCTGTGAAGGGAACGGGTGGATGAAGTGGTTTTAATCTCAGCCAGTTTTTACAGGTGTTGTCTGTGCTCACACGGATGGCCACAGACACCTTTGTACATCCTCTAAGGTGCTTATACACGGAGCACTGGTTTGTGTTGGTTCAGGCGCTAAGAGCCTGGAAACCCTATTTGGGCCCTTGGGCCGTCAGCAAGGGGTTGAACCCTTCTTCAGCCAGGCTCCATCCATGTTTCTTCCTAGACTCTCTGTACCCCGCTGTTTTGGTCTCCCTCAGTGTGGCCTTCCCTTTCTTCCAAGAGTGACTGACAGCTCTGTCTAGTGCCCAGTGGCTCAGTGTACCTCGCCTTCCTGCCATGCCCCATACTCTGTTCATAGGAGCCAAACTTGAGCAGCGGGAGGGGGCACAAAGGAAGCCCCTTGGGCAGGAAGCAGGTGTTATGAAGCAGTAAGGACTCCTCTGGCCCTCCCCCCCCCCCCGCCTCTCTCTCTCTCTCTCTCCAGGATGGGGGCGGGGAGCGCTGGAGATGTTCGACTTGAAGGGATAAGCAGGTGGCCTCTTTGCAGCTGCTTTCTGCCTCCATAAAAGCTGCTACAGCTCCCAGCTGCTTTGTGACCAAAAGCGCAGCCTCCTCAGACCCTTTGCTGAGAAGAGCTTCTCACTTCACTTCCCCTTCTCTAAGAGAGCATGCTGGAGCTCCGGGGAGGGACGGAGGAAGCGCCAGGCACCTGCACCTGCACCCCAGGCTCATGGTAGCGAAGTCCAGAAAAGCATCCTGGGCTGATTTCTCTGTCTGTCTCTTCCAGCACAAATTGAAGTAATCCCTTGCAAGATCTGCGGGGATAAGTCATCTGGGATCCACTACGGAGTTATCACCTGCGAGGGGTGCAAGGTGAGTTGCCCATGAGCATGAGGAAGGAGGAGGACCTTCTCTTGGTGTGGGAAAGTGGCCGCAGGCTCAATCACCATTAGCCAGTGGGGGTCGGGAGACTTTGGTGCTTTTCCAGATGTGGGCAGTCCTGAGAGCAATGCATGTGAGTTAGAGGTTCTCAGGACCATCTTGGCCTGGGTGGGATAAGCAGTCTCCATTTCCCAGGGCTTCTTCCGCCGCAGCCAGCAGTGTAATGTGGCCTACTCCTGCACCCGTCAGCAGAACTGCCCCATCGACCGCACCAGCCGTAACCGATGCCAACATTGCCGCCTGCAGAAGTGCCTGGCTCTGGGCATGTCCCGAGATGGTGAGGATGTGGGGGCAGGGCCCAAGAGTCCCTGCACTCTCCAGAGGCATCCTGGCTCTGCCAGACAGAGTCGGCCTGCAAAAAAAACACCCTGCCAGGGCCCTCTCGCCATTCTTCACCCATAGTCTTTTGTCCCATCGTTTTGAGGGTCCTCAAGGCTCTTCAGTGCCAGGCTCTGCTCCAGAAAACCTTTACTGGCTCCCTGTTCCTTCTTCTCTGCCTTCTCCTGGCCTACTTCCCATCCAGTCCCCACGTCCGTTGCTTCCTGCCCTGTCCTGCCCTATTTAGCTCCATCCTATGAAACTATCCTCAGACACAAGATTGTGGCTGGGAACAGCGTCAGTTAGCCTGAGAACGACCCAGAAGGTGGGGAATGGAGTGTGGTGCTCCTAGGGTCTTTTCCACCCTCCTCACCCACCATCCTCACCACAGAAGGAGCCCTGGGAGGGGGGTCGTGAGTGAGGAGGAGCCAGGAGGGACCTGTCAGCACTTTTCAGTGCTCAAAATAACAAAGCGAAAGGAAACATGCAGGGGTGCAAAGGGGCAGGCGGGGCCGAGGGCTGTGCCCCCACACCTGGGAGGGGTTGGGGGAGTGTAAAGGCAGGAAAGAGAGCAGAAGAGGATGTTCAGAAGAAGCCGCGGGGCCTGGGTTGGGCTGTGGTGAGTATCTAGGTCACCAGGGAGCCTACAGGCCTGACCACAGGGAGACCTATGTTCGCAGCCCTTCTCTTCTTCCTCCAGCCCTCCCAGACAGGCACGCTGACCCCAATACAACCTGAGGCCCCCTATTCGACCCCCACATCAGCCCCAGTCTGAGACCAGAATCTCCAGAGACCAGCTCATTGCTTGGTTTCTGTCACTATTCGCATGTAGTTTAGAATTAAAAAGATTTTGCTAGGGAGCTGGCAGGGCTGGTGGAACAGATCCTAAAGGGACAGACCGGGTGCAGGAGGAGCTTGAAGCCTAAAGTCCCAAAAAGAAAGTTGACAGGCAGAGCGGGAGAAATCTGAGTGCGGGTCAGACTGTGTGCCTATTGGTCCTGCCCTGTGCTATGTTCTCCTGATTCCTGACCCTTCTCCAGCTGTTAAGTTTGGCCGAATGTCCAAGAAGCAGAGGGACAGTCTGCATGCAGAAGTGCAAAAACAATTGCAGCAGCAGCAGCAGCAGCAGCAACAGCAACAGCAAGTGGCCAAGACTCCTCCAGCAGGAAGCCATGGAGCAGACGCCCTTACATACACTTTGGGGCTCCCAGATGGACAGCTACCACTGGGCGCCTCACCTGACCTGCCTGAGGCCTCTGCTTGTCCCCCTGGCCTCCTGAGAGCCTCAGGCTCTGGGCCACCATATTCCAACAACTTGACCAAAGCAGAGGTCCAGGGAGCCTCCTGCCATCTTGAATACAGCCCAGATCGAGGCAAAGCCGAAGGCAGAGACAGCGTCTATAGCACAGACAGACAGCTTACTTCTGGAAGACGCGAACTTCATTTTGAGGGATCCAGGCATCCTGAGCTCGGGGAACCAGAGCAGGGTCCCGACAGTCACTGCAGTCCCAGTTTCTGCAGTGCCCCAGAGGCACCATACGCCTCTCTGACAGACATAGGTGAGCATCTGGGAAGGGGAGGGGTGGGTGGTGAAAACTCGAGGAAGAGCTTCCCCCAGCACCCCTTGGAACTGAATGTGAATCCTAGGAAATTAGGGGTTTCCGGACAAAGAGTCAAGGGAGGAGGCAGATCAAGGTAGAGCCAGGAGAGCCTCTGTATGAGAGTCAGGTCGGGAACCGGTTGACGTCTAACCATGCCTTCCTCTTCTGGCCCCAGAGTACCTGGTACAGAACGTCTGCAAGTCCTACCGAGAGACATGCCAGCTGCGACTGGAGGACCTGCTACGGCAGCGCACCAACCTCTTCTCCAGGGAGGAGGTGACCAGCTACCAGAGGAAGGTGAGGGCAGGGAGGACATCAGCCCCCACCACCAGAGGGCCCAGAGATGAGGGCAGAAGGGTGTCACAGACAGGCTGGCCAAGTGCGTCTGTGTATTCCCTAGCAGCTGGATGAGAGTGTTTCCCTAACTCCTGCTTATTAAAAATGTACCCAGCTAGCAACCTGCCTCCTCTTCCGTCTGGACCTTGCCACGCTGCTTTCATGCTCCATCCTTAACTGACACTTATGGGTATTCTGAGGAGCATTTATTGAATACCCTTTCTTATCAGTCATTGTAAGAGAAACTCTGATGAAGTATGTCCAACATGCAGCCTGTGAGCTACATGTGTCTAAAGATAGTGATAAATGTGGCCCAATGCACAATCATGAGGTTATTTTGCTTGTTTGTTTGGGTTTTGTTTTTGTTTCATTTTGTTTTATTTTGTTTTGTTTTTTTCCCAAGTCATGGTTTTTCTGAGTGTCCCTAGATGTCCTGGAACTCACTTTGTAGAACAGGCTGGTCTTGAACTCCAGCCTGCTTCTCGTGAGTACTACAACTAACGGTATATGTATGCCACACCTGGCTTTAAAACATGAAATTTTTAAAAACTTGATTCTCACGTCATATCACCATGTCAAAGGTTAGACATACCTGTGAGATCACCCTCAGCCCTTCCAACAACTGGCCTCTAAGAATAGCATTTACACTAAGGTAGATGTGCTAAGAATCACAAGGTGATCGAACCAGTGAAGTTCAAATCTGAGGGCTCTACAATATATGCTGTCCCTTCTGTCACACTGGGACAGTACCAGCTACTTTGAACTCAGCAGGCACTTGGCATCTGCATCTGTCAGCTGCTGAGACCTCCTTCAGGGGGAGCAGCAAGTAACAATGTGTACATTGTTAGCAAGTGAAACTAGCTTGCTTGGTTTCCCTTTCTCCATCATAGCACCAAGAAGTTTCGCTTTCTACACCGTGTTTCAGGAAAGCCATCACCCCCTCTCTGGAGTTACCCTCTAGGCGTCTGGGGAGTTCTCTGGCAACCTTTCCTTGCCTGTAGCAGAATCCTAATACCCAGTATTGAATGGGCATCATGAAAGACCAGGTTATCCGAAAGATGGTAGCTTGGAGTTAAGAAATTAGCAGTTCTCGTCCCTTATATACCTCTCCAGGTTTCCTTGTACTGGGCTGGGGGAGAGAGGTATCAGTAAGCGGAACCCACTGACAGGAATTGGCCCTGGGTACCTTTGTGCTAACAGGGTTGAGTGTTGAAATGAGGAAATGGAGAACCAACTCCCTGCAGTTTACGGGGTGCAGGGACCTGGGAGGATCACAAGTGTCCTCCTCTGTCCCTACAGTCGATGTGGGAAATGTGGGAACGCTGTGCCCACCACCTCACTGAGGCCATTCAGTATGTGGTGGAGTTTGCCAAGCGACTCTCCGGCTTCATGGAGCTCTGCCAGAATGATCAGATCATACTACTGAAAGCAGGTGCCTGGGATGGGCAGGCTGGGGACTGGGAGGAGAGCATGGGCGGCAGATCAAGTCTGGGGGATGGAGCCAGGGTCAAGTGGAGGGAGGCAGCCTAAAGAAGCCAGGATACTGGGAGAGTCGGTGCCTGACTTTGCTTGACACTGCCCACCCAGCCTTCTCCCCTTATCCAGGAGCAATGGAAGTTGTGCTTGTCAGGATGTGCCGGGCCTACAACGCTGACAACCACACAGTCTTTTTTGAAGGCAAATACGGTGGCGTGGAGCTGTTCCGAGCCTTGGGTGAGGGGCAGGGGAAAATGAGAAATTCCTGATGTCAAGTCCTCTCTAAAGCCTCTATATAGGGTTGATGGTCCCCCTACTCTAAACGCCCAAAGGGTGGTGCCCTTGGCAACCAGCTACCATGCTCACTCTCTTCATCTCCACTCCGGCAGGCTGCAGCGAGCTCATCAGCTCCATATTCGACTTTTCTCACTTCCTCAGTGCCTTGCGTTTTTCTGAGGATGAAATTGCCCTCTACACGGCCCTGGTTCTCATCAATGCCAGTGAGTGTGGCTGGGCCTGGGAAAGGGCACTCTGGTGACTAGGACCTAGCAGCTCATGGACATCCTAGGCCTTCGGATGTGGCTAAATCTGGGAGATTGCTTGAAACAGCAAAATGAGTCCTGCCCAATGCTTCTGGAAAATAAAATAGATTAAAGCATCCAGAGGAACCTTAAGACAGAACAAGAACAGCATATAACAGGCAGTGGGAGCACGGAGAAGGGAGGTTGGGAGGAAAACAAGCCACTTCCCCAGTAGATGTTAACCTGCTGGTCAGTGTGTGGCAGCGACTCCTTTGCAGCCTGGCGTCACCTGGGGAGTTTTAAGAACTGATTGTGTGCCTGGGTCCCACTTCCAGATTCTGATGTAACTCATCCGAACTGCACCCAAGATTTTAACGGCCACCTCCAGATTGAGCCACTAAGACTGAGAATGACTGCTTGGTGTGGTGGGCTCATTTTGAGACAGAGTGCCTGCAGGGGCAGTAGGACTCTGGGTGTCCACTCCACTGGACTAGAGTCAAGTCAGCTGAACACTAACTACCCAGAGGGCCTAGGGCAGTGAGCCTGCTGCTCTGGGTTTGTTAATTAGCAGCACAAGTCTTCCAACCCTAATAACATGGCCTCAAGCTGGAAGCAAGCTGACTTTATAGATGACTTCTGGGTACTTGAGGGAAGCAAAGCTAGAGTTGACAGAGCCACAGACTACTTTAGAGGCCTTGATGCCCACCTGGATGGCGTCAGGAGCTCACCTGAGTCACTCTTCCAACATTTTACCTCCATGACAGAAATCTACTACCTGACATTGAATGAGCTACATAAGAGACCAGGTTACCTGGACTGAGGTAGTTTGGAGTTGGGAGGCTAACAGTCTCCACCTTTTCATCACTACAGTTTCCCTAGTAGTTAGCTAGACATCTCTACGGCTATCAAACCAACACACACACACACACACACACACACACACACACACACACGCACACGCACACGCACACGTGCTCACACACAGCTGAGAGGGCCTCTTCAAGAAGATACATGACACCATTTTACTGGGCAAGACTATCTGCGTTGTTTCTATTTCACTCTGGTCCCATCCTTCCTTCAGACCGGCCTGGGCTCCAAGAGAAAAGAAGAGTGGAGCATCTGCAATACAATTTGGAGCTGGCCTTCCATCATCATCTCTGCAAGACTCATCGCCAAGGCCTCCTAGCCAAGGTAGGAGCAGTCTGTAAGACAGAAGAGACCAGACCCATCTGTGCCATCAGGGCCAGGGTCTTCAGGAGCCAAGGAGGGAATGCTGAAGTGCTGTGTTATGTCAGAGTGTTTGCAACAGCAGTGGGGAGGCAGGAACAGCTGTTTCCATTTACCAAGAGATGGAAAGTTAGCCTGGAGTTGTAAGAGACCTCCAGGGAACAATTCAGTTTAATATAGCCAGCACTTACCCAGCACCTGCTTATACAAAGCACTGTGGAAAGATACAGAGATGCAATTCTTGTCCTCACTAAGATATTTCCATATGGTATAAAGAGACTTGCAAACCTTCTTATATAACTCTAATATGGAGTAGAACATGTGATTTTTTAATAGTGAGATTAACAAAATGCTTTCAATGATAGATCTCTTATCCTTAAGGCAACCCAGTTATGATTGGACAGGTGTTAAAATCTTCCTGTAACAATAAAGCGACTTCCATGACATGTATTACTTGATAACATGAATCTTAATCCCAGTGCTCTTTTGACAATATTCCGGGGACCCCCTAATTTAATATTATAAAAGCTCTTAAAATCACAGCATTGGTGGTTTTGATACCAGCACTCAGGAGGAAAAAGGGACCAAGAGAAACAGGATCTCAAGGTCATGTGGCCAGCCTGGGCTACATGAGACCACCCCTCTAGAAATGGGGGGAACTTTTGGAAAAATTATAATGGTGTGGACAGGGGTTCAAATAATTTAAGGGCCTGGTGAGATGGCTCAGTGAGTAAAGACATTTGCCACAAAACCTAGCACCATGGCCCGAGTTTGATCCCTGAGACCCGCATAATGAAAGCAAAACTCTATTTAACTCCTGCAAATTGACCTGTGACTCACACACACACACACACACACACAAGTAAGAATGTAAAATTTCCCCACAATTTGAAGGTAAATGTGTGTAGAGGGAGATTTCTGTCCCGCCAGGCCCCACAGCCATTTAGACCCAAGGAAACACACAGAGGCTTATATTAACTATAAACTGTTTGGCTGATGGCTCAGGCTTTTATTGGCTATCTTTCTCTTAATTATTAACCCATATCTATTAGTCTATGTATTTCCACACGCTCTTGGGCTTACCCAGTCATGCCCAGACCTCTTGCTTTCTGAGCAGCTACATGGCATCTCTCTGGTCACTCACTCTCTGTGTTCCTCTTCCCAGACTTCGTGTCTGCTAGCCTTGCCTATACTTCCTGCCTGGCTAATGGTCAACCAGCATTTACTCATCACCCAACAAGAGAAACATATTCACAGCATCCAGAAGGATATTCCCCATCATAAATGTTTCATTAAAAAAAAAAAAGCTTTGAAGCAAGAGGATGAGGCCATGAAAGATAGAGGTTTCAACAAGCATTCATGAGGGCAGAGCAATGATCCAGGCTTAGGGAAGGAGATGAATAGAACTCTGCGGAGGCCAAATAGTGTTCATGGCACACATTTCTACATATGTGTACGTGTGTTTATGTGATTGTGTGCACTCAGGTGCACATGCAAAAGAGGATGTGTATGTATCCCTGTAGAGACCTGGTGACTTCAGGTATCATTCCTGGGTGGTGCCACCTTTTTATATTTTTCATTCATTCAGTCATTCATTGACTTATTTATCTATTAATTTTGAGGCAGAGTATCTCACTGGCCTGATCTGTGATTAACCGAGGACTGCTGATGGCCCCAGAGGTGTGCCTGTCTCTACCTCTCAAATGTTGAGATTATATGCATGTACTACCTTGCCCAGCTTTTGATTTTTCTTCTTCTTTCTTTTGCTTTTCTTTTCTTTTTTGTTTGTTTTTGGTTTTTAGTTTTTTGGGGGGTTTTTCAAGACAGGTTTTCTCCATGGCTTTGAAGGCTGTCCTGGAACTCGCTCTGTAGAACAGGCTGGTCTGGAACTCACAGAGATCCGCCTGCCTCTGCCTCCCGTTGTTTGTTTGTTGTTTTTGTCTTGGCTGCCCTGGAACTTGCTTTGTAGACCAGGCTGGCCTCAAACTCAGAGAGCAGCCAGTCTCTGCCTCCCTCCCCAGTGCTGGGATTAAAGGAGTGCACCACCACACCCAGCCTTCACCTGGTTTCCTTCATGTGGGTTCTGGAAACTGAACTCAGGTCCTCGTGCTTGAAGGCCTGCACTTCATTGACTGAGCTGTGTCCCCAACCATCATGGTACATTCTGATAAGTGTGAGGCCAGAGGCTGGGTAGCCTGGTGAAGCGGGAGAGTAGCAGGAGGCAGGCATGAAAACTGTTAGAGGAACCACAGCAGCGAAGACTCTCAGTGCCATAGGAAGCGTGAAGGTTTTGCTTCTAGGCAATGGGGAGCCCCCAAAGACCAGAGCAATGCTGAAATCAGAGCTGTCATTAGGGAATTCACTTCATAAAGGGCCCAGCTTTGTAGTCATCCTCTTAAACCCTTGAGACACACCATCTTGCTGGTCCTGAGATACAGAAGTTACCCCAGTCTCAATCTACAACAAAACAGTTCTATAGAGGGAGAGACTGGTCCTGGGGAAGCTATTGGAATGCAAATGTGGTTGGATTCGCTTTGGTATGTTTTATTTTATTTTTTGAGGCTTGGTCTCATGTAGCCAAGGCTGGCCTTGAACTCTTGATCCTCCTGCATCTACCTCCCAAGTGCTAAGATCACAGGCATGTACCACCATGCCCAGAAGGATCCACTTTCAAAATGTATCACACCTTCCATGATGAACCCCCAGCTACTGGCCACAACTAGACTATTAAACTCCTAACTCAACGTCCCACTCCATCTTTGTCTGCTAGGTCAGAGCCCCACCGCACCCACTCAGGATCCACGCTAGCCCTTTTAAGGAGGCAAGACCATCGCCTGCCTCTTTCATTCCCCGCCCTCCTGTAGTTGGCGAAAGTTCAGCTCTGGAGTCTGTGCATGGCCACCCTGCCTTCTTCCGACCTGGCTTGCACCAGTCTTTTGGCTCCACACAGTTTCTTGCTAGCCCTTCAACATGCCGTGTCTGGTTCCATCTATCTCAGGCCTGTGTACTGCTATTGCCTCCTGTAGGGTTCCCTCCCCTGTTTCTAAATGTTTTCTTCATGCCTTCATTCCCCTGAACAACTACCCAACAGAAGGGATCCATCCCTCACCCTGCTTTACTGCTACGCAGAGCTGTATGCTGCGTGCTAACCGGTGTGTGTCCTAAGAACACAGACACCTTGTGGAGTGCCACAGGGTATACTCACAAACAAACACTGTAGTTTAGAACCACTCTAGTTAGGGGTTTGTAATTCCCCAAAACCTTGTTAGGCAGCATATAGCTGTATTTAGGACTCCCTGGCTACTGTGTACATTTAATAAAAGTACAGTTTTTATTCCCTGATGTTAAATCAGAGCTCATGACAGTGCCGCATCTAGATTTATTGAGTTTCTCAACGAATATCTTTTGAATGAGTAAAAGAAATTATCGTAGTAACCCAGGCAAACTCAAAGTACTAAAACACACAAAAAAAGATAATAAACTCAAGAGATACAGGGGGAGTCACCCCAACATGCTGCCTGCGTTTCTCTGACTGGTACTTTTCTAGGGAGTTAAGCTAAGAAGGGAAGATGGCAAGAAAGAGGTGTTTTTAAGTCTCACTTCCTTGTGCTGGAAGTTGCACAGGAATGACAGTGTCTGAATCTTTCTCCCTGCCTCTGTCCCATGGACTTCTGTACCTTCCTTTGGCTGAAGGCTGACTCTAGACTGATTTATATTTTCTGTGCTGGGTACCAGCTTAGAAACTCTGTTTAGTTCAAACAAGCAGTTGTTAAGCGTAAGTTATGTCAGCTTTATAATGGGAACAAGGAAGATACCTAGTAAGAAGAAGACAGATGGACCTTATCTAAGTAAACATGGAGCAGGAAGGCAGACTGGATCCTTTTCTACAGTGTGGCAAGTACTACTACATAGAAGGAAGCCTGTTGGAAGGGCTTTAACCCAGAAAGGGATGGGGGGGGGGGGGGGTGCTGAGGGAGGCGGTGTCCTCAGAGGAGGTAAGGATCAGCAAAGCAAATGATAGTTAGAAAGGCAGGGCGTTGGTGCAAGCCTTTAGTCCCAGCACTCAGGAGGCAGAGACAAGTGGATCTCTGTGAGTTTGAGGCCAGCCTGGTCTACAGAGCGAGTTCCAGGACAGGTTCCAAAGCTACCCAGAGAAAACCTGTCTCGAAAAACAAAACAAAAACAAACAAAAAAAGATAGTTAGAAAGGTACCCCAGACGAGAAAACAATATGAACCATGAACCAAGGCAAAGAGTCTTGGGAGTAAAGTCAGTTCAAGTGTAGGCAGAGCCGTGCATGCCATCATTCAAGCATGCTCTCGCTAAGCCAGGCACAGTGCTGAGTGTGACTTTCTTTTTCTTTCTTTTTTGTTTTGTTTTGTTTTGTTTTGTTTTTCAAGACAGGGTTTCTCTGTATTGCTTTGGAGTCCTGGAACTCACTCTGTAGACCAGGCTGGCTTCAAACTCACAGAGATCCGCCTGCCTCTGCCTCCCGAGTACTAGGATTAAAGGCGTGCGCCACCAAGGCCGGGCTAGAAGTGACTTTCAAAACTGAACCCAGAAAAGGTTCACCTGTCTCCCAGCAGCCCTCACTTACCTTAGGTCTGCAGACACACATACATCTAACCAATGCAATGGACTGCTCCAGGGGGGCGGGGTAAGTGTGGGGAAGGCAGCACGGAGGGCTACCCTAGCTCAACATCAGCAGGAGATATTTTTTCTCTGGTAAGCACTGAAGTACTGACCCCCATTCCCTCCTAATCATCCCCAGCTGCCACCCAAAGGGAAGCTCCGGAGCCTGTGCAGCCAACATGTGGAAAAGCTGCAGATCTTCCAGCATCTCCACCCCATCGTGGTCCAAGCCGCCTTCCCTCCACTGTATAAGGAACTGTTCAGCACGGATGTCGAGTCCCCCGAGGGGCTCACCAAGTGACCTAGAGGAAAAGACAACTTTCTGTTTCCTTCAGCCCAGTTGCCAGCTGTCTCCCTGGACTCCATTCCCTCAGCCTCCCCTTTCCTGTGCTCTCTGGAGGAAGGTCTCCCTAGGAGTGAGCAAATGCTAACACTGGTTTTTCTGCCCCCAGGCTTGCCTGGCAGAACAACAGTAGCAGGCGATGAAGAAAAGGCTCCTTATGTTTGATTTTCCATAAATTCCACCCTGGCTTCTGGAAGGTGTGGGGTAGATGGGACATAAAGGCTTGTAGGGTGACCAAGTCAAACTGAAATCAAACAAACTAACCAACGGGGGATAAATCCAGGTACTGGGATGAAGAGAACTCAATCCTAGGCTCAAAAGCTAACAGCAGTCCTTTGAATACCTCATTGTGTTTCCCCGTGGGCTCTGGCTGGGGGAGACGGATCTCGCTCAAGACTGGTGGTAGCAGGCAGCCAGAAGGACCTGTACATAGCAAGAATCCAGAACCTTGAGATTTTCTGCCTTCCTCCTTCTTAGTTCAGTAAAGAAGTTGTTGGCCATCTGACCCTTTTTCTGGGACCTAAAATACCTGGATATGTATAGAATAAGGATGGGAAGGAAATGAGGGCCAGGATAACGATTTTATAGGGTTTGGGTGTGGGGAGAGGGAATGGTGGGAGCCGAGAGCATCACTGGAAGAATTAGAATGTGAACCTCTTGTGTGCACTTTAAAAGCCAGCTTTGGCATTGTCTAATCAGAGACACACATCCCCACACAGGGATGGACCACAGAGCAGCTCTGCCTGCAGTGACACACTCCTGTAGACACTTCCCCAGTGACATGGTCTCTTCCTTGAGGTCACAGCTCAGAGAAACCTTAGGGTCTTAGCAAAGAGTTCCAATACATGCAGGGTGCCAGAACATACCATCCCAACTCCAGCTGTTTTCTATACTGAGAACTACCCCTAAGAGACGCAGAGGGCGGGACGCTGATCAGCCAGAAATCCAAGGGCCAGCACCAGGGAGGGGACCTGTGACCTCAGCCTCTACCTGCTCTCTCTGTGAGGAAGGAGGGCAACACCATGCCCTGTTCCATGCCTGTGTGCCACTCACTCCAGCGTGAGAGTGACGAGTAACAGGGCAGGGACCTGTTTCTCCTCCATAATCTTGCTCAGGACTTCTCTCTTTTCCTCTCAGAGAAAAGGGTTTACCTAGGTACACACAAACCCTTACTTGTACATTCTTTATAAAATGATTTTAAAGGCTGGAAGTGTGTGTGTGTGAGTGTGTGTGTGTGAGTGTGTGTGAGTGTGTGTGTGAGTGTGTGTGTGTGAGTGTGTGTGAGTGTGTGTGAGTGTGAGTGTGTGTGTGAGTGTGTGTGAGTGAGTGTGTGTGAGTGTGAGTGTGTGAGTGTGTGTGTGAGTGTGTGTGTGAGTGTGTGTGGGGGTGTGAGTGTGTGTGTGTGGTGTGAGTGTGTGTGTGTGAGTGTGTGTGTCTGTGTGTGTGAGTGTGTGTGTGTGAGTGTGTGTGTGAGTGTGTGTGTCTGTGTGTGTGTCTGTGTGTGTGTGAGTGTGTGTGTGTGAGTGTGTGTGTGAGTGTGTGTGAGTGTGTGTGTGAGAGTGTGTGAGTGTGTGAGTGTGTGTGAGTGTGTGTGTGAGTGTGTGAGTGTCTGTGTGAGTGTGTGTGAGTGTGTGAGTGTGTGTGTGAGTGTGTGAGTGTGTGTGTGAGTGTGTGTGAGTGTGAGTGTGTGTGTGTGTGTGTGAGTGTGTGTGTGTGAGTGTGTGTGTGTACTTGTGCAGGGCACATGTGTTGGGTGGGGGGAGACTTGAATGTGACTGCCCAGGATACACCCCTGCTCTGCAGTCTTGTTCCTGTGTCAAGTCAGCAATTCATCTGTATTATAGGAATGTTAGCCCCCCCCAGATTCTCCTCCAAACTAAGCAGTCCCCCCAGGGAGACTTGGAAACTGATGCTCAGGTACCGAGCACTGGAGGAATGGCAAACTAAGCTGCAGAAAGATATTCCGGACTGAGAACTTCTGACAAATGATACTCACAGGCCCGTTTAGATTTAGAGATTGCCCAGAATTACCCTGCATCTAAGAGACTAGAAGCTGGAAAGTGGCGTCCAGGGAGCTCTCTAGCTCCCCAGGAGGAACCAAGATGTCAGAACTCTTTCAAGCTTCCCAGGAGGTCTCAGTGGCAGACCCTGCCGCGGCCCCAGAGTCCCCCTCTTCATTTCCTCCCCCACCTCTGTCATCCCATAGTGGCACTTGCTGCAGCCCTCCCTGGTCGCTTTATTTATTTATTTATTTTGCACCAACAGGGTTGCTGCAGACTCATTCTCGCCTGGTTTAAAAAGAGAGGAGAGGAGAGGAGAGGAGAGGAGAGGAGAGGAGAGGAGAGGAGAGAGAGAGAGAGAGAGAGAGAGAGAGAGAGAGAGAGAGAGAGAGAGAGAGAGAGAGAGAGAGAGAGAGAGAGAGAGAGAGAGAGAGAGAGAGAGAGAGAGAGAGAGAGAGAGAGAGAGAGAGAGAGAGAGAGAGAGATGCTTTCTGGCTCTTTTCTCTCTCTTGGTCTTGGCAGCGAGGCCACAGTAGCAGAAGCAACGGTGGCGGCGGCAGCCGCAGTCCCGCCAGCCGGCTGAAGCTGCCGGCGGCTTGGCAGTGGGGAGTGGAGAGTCATACACACAGGGGAGGTGGAGGGGCCGAGGTGCAGCTCGGATGGGACAGACCCCAGCCCCGGAGAGATGCAGCGCCCAACTTGATGCCAGCCTCCAGCTTCTCCGGTAAGTGCCCCTGCCCTCTTTGGGGAAGTCTCAGCTGCCCTTTCCCAAGGCTTTCTCAAAGACAAGGCCAGGCTAAGTGTGCCTGTGAAGGAAAGGGAGCTTGTTCACCCTCTGCCCCAGTCAACCATTCATCCTGCCCCACAGGATTGTGATCGGAAAACTAACATGTCCCAGATAACCCTGGTGGGGGGCTCAAGGAGACCACCCCTCCTTCTCCCTAGTGTCCCTTCTACCTCTAGAAAGGGTTTTTCCCCCTACAGTCAATGTGGGTACTCCAAAATCTTTCTCCTAAGTGACCCCTCCCCATGCAGGTCTCCGTGCCTCAATCAGGTGTGCTTTAAAGTGGATATGTGTTCCTAAGGGTCTGCGGCTGCCACATAGAGACAAGAAGAAAGCTCCCTATCCCCGAGGAGGCAATGCCCCAGACTCCAGACCCCAGGAGGAGAGAGAGCGCTTTTATAACATCTATCTCTTCCTGCAAAGTGCCCAGAGGCCAGTCCTAGAGCCACAGAGGATAAAAAAGAAAGGCTATTATTAAATTAGCCACCTTATAAATAAAAGATGTTAACCCAAAGTCCCCCAGCCATTGAGCCAGCAGGCTTTGGGGACGGAGCGGAAACCCATGGAAGCAGGAAGGAAGGAGCTGGCACACATGCTTCACTGCACTTTTGCTGAATGCAGAGCAAAGGGATGAGCAGGAACTGCAGCAACAGTGATGAAGAGCTAGCTGTCAGGTGGACTTCCCAGAACAGGCCAGGGAGAGGAGAGCTGAGAATTCTTACCGCCCCAGAGATGCCTGTTGGTCTGGGAGGGGGTCAGGAGGGTCAAGATTTAGCAGCCATTGCCCCTTGGTCACTCTCCCCCTCCCCAAGTCACCCCATAACAGTCTCTCTGCAGCCCTCATCTCCTGTGCTTTCCTCTAGCCTCCTTACTGAGGGTTAACTTGGCATCTCCCGTTTCCCAACCGCTTTGGTCCTCTGAAGTGGCTAGATCTCCAGAATGGTCACCAAGAGTGCAGGAAAGACAGGAAGTCACATCTCCTAACAGCCCCTCCTGTGTTCCACATGGAAGTAAATTGGGCATGTTGCAGAAAGCTTGAGGCCCTCTGGGTGTTGGTGGCGCACGCCTTTAATCCCAGCACTCGGGAGGCAGAGGCAGGTGGATCTCTGTGAGTTCAAGACCAGCCTAGTCTGCAAGAGCTAGTTTCAGGACAGCCTCCAAAGCCACAGAGAAACCCTGCCTTGAAACAACCCCCCCCCAAAAATGAAAGGAAAAGAAAGAAAGAAAGAAGGAAGGAAGGAAGGAAGGAAGGAGAGAGAGAGAGAGAGAGAGAGAGAGAGAGAGAGAAAGAAAGAAAGAAAGAAAGAAAGAAAGAAAGAAAGAAAGAAAGAAAGAAAGAAAGAAAGAAAGAAAGAAAGAGGAAGCTTGAGGCTCCAAAGTCCAGAGAGGCAGGACCTGCCGCCAGGGGAAACACAGCGGGTGGCCTGCAGGAGTGTCAGTTGTCCTGCTCCTGTCCCTCTGCCATCTCTTTCTAACTCTAACATTCCTCCTCTTTGAGGTACCTATTGCACCAGCAAGGCAAGCAGAGGCACTCGACAGCTAAGACGTCTCCATCTCTGTCACCTTGTTCACCTTCCCAGTTATCACGGTCACCATCTGCTGATACTGCCCAGGCTTCTGATACCCAGAGACTCACTTTATGTAGATGGGTGCCATGCACTGCCTGTATCCAGGTGTCCCCTATGCTAGCCAGTGGCTCCCTGCCTCCCACCCATGGCACCTGGTCATTGCTGCCTCTCCCTCTTTATCCATGCTTCCTTGGGGATCACAAACCATTTCATGTATCTTCTCAGGCAGCTCAGGCAGGAAGGGGTTGAAGCTCTCCTTCAGATGCACACACAAACTAGACTCAAAACACCAATAAGGGAGGATAGAGGAGTAGCCCAAGGCTGAGAACCCCATGCAAAATCTCAGCACTGTTAGACAGTTTCCACATCCCAACCCCTCTATAAAGTAGGAGGTGCTGTCCTTGGGGCTCTTGTAAGGGATCCCCTGTCTTGGCATCCAGTGCCCCTGTGCTCTGTTCCATAGCTAATATATAGCCAGGCTGTCATCCCCACAAACATTCTGGGGACACCAGCATTGGCTCGTCCAGAGCCTGGGCCCTAAGCCAGGCTGTAAAGAAAGGCATAGACTGGAGCAAAGCTGGAGTTTACATGTGCCTTTGCTTCTTTCTGATGACTGGTCAAGGGTAGGACCTCTTTCCCGTCAGCACAGGGTCAGAATTTCGAGTCTGGATGGGATCTCCCTGAGCCTTAGGAAAAGTTGTAGGCACAAAATGCAGAAGAACAATCAGGTGTTGGTGGTGCACGCCTTTAATCCCAGCACTTGGGAGGCAGGCAGATCTCTGTGAGTTCCAGGACAGCCTCCAAAGCCACAGAGAAACCCTGGCTCAAAAAAAAAAATGGGGAGACAGAACCAGGCAGTGGTGGCACATGCCTTTAATAATCCCAGAACTCCTGGGTAGAAGCAATTAGATCTCTGTGAATTCAAGGTCAGCCTGGACAACAAATTGAGTTCCAGGATAGCCAGAGCTGTTACACAGAGGAAGTCTCTCAAAAAAAAGGGGAGGGGGGGGGGTGAGAGGAACGTAGCAGAGTTTTCAGAGAGCAGATACCGTGGAGATAGAACCTGGGATATTCCTGGTCTCATAGATATAGGGAGAAATGCAGGGAAATGCAGAGTTCTTTCCCTACTACTCAGTCCCTTAAACCTCCTACCACAGAAATCAGCTTGACCAGGAACCCATGCACAGGAAGTTCATGGCTGGTTATCCAGGGCTGCAAAGGACAAACTTCCCCATAAGAAGAGCTTTAAGAAGCCCCAGGGAGGAGGTACAGGTTTCCCCAGTTGTGTGGCACACTTGCTGGCAAGCTCGAGACAACAGACCACTTTCCCTCCACTTTAAGGCAGTTCAGGGGAGTACAGGGTCACAATCATCTAAAGCCACTTTCCAAAAAAAGGCCGTATCGTCATCTATTCCAGGCCTCAGGGAATGGACGCAGCCATCACTCCAAAGCAAGCCTGGCTCCCCTGGTCCCCACTCCTTTTCCTGCTCCTCCTACCTGGAGGGAGCATCAGTAGCTGCCCTACTGTGTGTGACTGCACCTCCCAGACCCGGGCAGTCCTCTGTGCCCATAGGCGACTGGACGCTGTCCCTGGAGGGCTTCCTTTGGACACAGAGCTCCTGGACCTGAGTGGGAACCGCCTGTGGGGGCTTCAGCGGGGAATGCTCTCCCGACTGGGTCAGCTCCAAGAACTGGACCTCAGTTACAACCAGCTCTCCACCCTTGAGCCTGGGGCCTTCCATGGCTTACAAAGTCTACTCACTCTGAGGCTCCAGGGCAATCGACTGAGAATTGTGGGCCCTGGGATCTTCTCAGGCCTAGCTGCTCTCACACTGCTGGATCTCCGCCTCAATCAGATTGTCCTCTTCCTAGATGGGGCTTTTGCTGAGCTAGGCGGCCTCCATCAGCTGGAGGTTGGAGACAATCACCTGGTGTTTGTGGCTCCTGGGGCCTTCGCAGGGCTGGCCAAATTAAGTGCCCTCACCCTGGAACGCTGTAACCTCAGCACGGTGCCTGGCCTAGCCCTTGCCCAGCTCCCAGAGCTAGTGGTTCTTAGGCTTCGAGAACTAGATATTGAGAGGCTGCCGGCTGGGGCACTTCGAGGGCTCCGGCAGTTAAAGGAGCTGGAGATCCACCACTGGCCATCTCTGGAGGCCTTGGACCCAGGGAGCCTGCTTGGGCTCAATCTGAGCACCCTGGCCATCACCCGCTGCAATCTGAGCTCAGTGCCCTTCCAAGCACTGTACCACCTGAGCTTCCTCAGGGTCTTGGATCTGTCTCAGAATCCTATCTCAGCCATCCCGGCTCGAAGGCTTAGTCCCCTGGTTCGGCTCCAGGAGCTCAGGCTGTCAGGGGCCTGTCTCACTTCTATCGCTGCCCATGCCTTCCACGGCCTGACTGCCTTCCACTTGCTGGACGTAGCAGACAATGCTCTTCAGACTCTAGAGGAAACAGCCTTTCCTTCTCCTGATAAACTGGTCACCCTGAGGCTGTCTGGTAACCCCCTAACCTGTGACTGCCGCCTCCTCTGGCTGCTCCGCCTCCGCCGCCACCTGGACTTTGGCAAGTCCCCCCCTGCTTGTGCTGGCCCCCAGCACGTCCAAGGGAAGAGCCTAAGGGAGTTTTCAGACATCCTGCCTCCAGGCCACTTCACCTGTAAACCAGCCCTGATCAGGAAGTCAGGGCCTCGGTGGGTCATTGCGGAGGAGGGAGGGCAGGCTGTTTTCTCCTGCTCTGGAGATGGAGATCCAGCCCCCACTGTCTCCTGGATGAGGCCTCAGGGAGCTTGGCTGGGAAGGGCTGGGAGAGTAAGGGTCCTAGAGGATGGCACACTGGAGATTCGCTCGGTGCAGCTGCGGGACAAGGGGGCCTATGTCTGTGTAGTCAGCAATGTCGCTGGGAATGACTCCCTGAGGACCTGGCTGGAAGTTATCCAAGTTGAGCCACCAAATGGTACTCTCTCTGACCCCAACATCACCATGCCAGGGATCCCAGAGCCTTTCTTTCTGGACAGCAGGGGTGTGGCTATGGTGCTAGCAGTGGGGTTTCTCCCCTTCCTCACCTCAGTGACCCTCTGCTTCGGTCTGATCGCTCTTTGGAGTAAGGGCAAGGGCCGGGTCAAGCATCACATGGCTTTTGATTTTGTGGCACCTCGGCCCTCTGGGGATAAGAACTCTGGAGGTAACCGGGTCACTGCCAAGCTGTTCTGATCTTTTCTCCCATGCTGAAGACTACCCAAGTCCACTTTGGAAGCCAAAGGAGAGGGAGGACTACAGTCTCTTGAACCGCAGCTTCATGTCAAACAACACAGCCTCCCACAGTTGTCACTTGCATTCTGAAAGCTGCTCTAGTTTGAAGACACACTGTCACCTCTTGCTGAGGGCCCCAGAGAGCTGTCGATACAGACCTTATCACAAAGACAACCCTCACTTGGCACCCCCACACCAGACAGGAAAGAAATGCAGGGCTCCAGTCTGCTCTTTGCACATGTATCCTTTAATATTCAGGACCAGGTGCCAAACACAACCCTAAGATGATTTCAGAAGCGCCACGAGCTTCTTAGAGTCCGCTCATCTGGCAGGCATTCTCCCTTTCTTTCCTGCTACCCAGTGCCAAATCCAGCCAGCACCCCTGGGTGCAAGAAGGAACTAAAGTGAAGGATTCAGAGGGTACCTGGGAGTGTGGCCTGACTACACTCTGGCACTCTGCCGGCAGGAGCCTCTACCACCTTCCTGACTGTCAAAAGCCACCACAGTGACAGCGAGAATGAATCATGATCTCAGGAACTGTATTTACTTCTTTCCCTTCCTCCCATTTCAGCTATTGATCATCCAGCCTCCGCTTTCCCATTTACTCTTCTTTCTAGGGCCAAAGAAGACAAGATTCCCCCACCTTTGAAGGGATCCCTATACAGAAGTCTCCTATTCCACATCTTCAGTGTTCCAGTGTTACAGATCCCAAGCGTGCTTGGCAAGGGGAAAGCCAGAGGGAAACTCCTAGAGAAAAGGCTGACAAACACAAGAGTGTGCGGCTGGGCAAGGATGGGGCTCTGTTAGCCGCAGTGAGAAGTAGAGGGAAGAGGTCAGCAGCTGTCTGGACGCTCACACCAGCCTCAGACCCCGCCCCCATCTGGATTTAGTGTGGCCCCAGTGGGAAGCTGTCCCTGGATAAAAGTCACCTCAAAGAGGGAGAGGAGAGAGAGGTAGAATTCTGACTGCTACAGTGCGCTTCCAACAGAGGGCGGAGTAGAGCCCCAAAGCACAAAGATGCTGGGAGCTCTAGACAGTGACAGCATCAGCATCAGAAGGGGAGGAGGAAAGGGGGGCAGGGAGGACAGGAGGAGGGGTCCTGCAGCCCCAGGATGCGTTCTTCTCTTGGCTGCAGCATCTACCCAGTATCCTTAGTTTCCTTCCTCCTTGCTGAGTCCCTGCCCACCTCACACCATGAGCTTTCTAGTGGCTGCTGTTGCCTTGCTAGGAGGAGACTCCACTCGCTGCAAACTTCCTAGTTCAAACTGTCCCTGACAGGTGAGCGCAGCTGGTGGCACTGAGGGGACACGTGGGAGCACCAGAAGTGCTGTAAGAGTTTAGGTGTTTATAGAGCAAGGCTTGAGAAAGGTAACCCTGAGACCCCAAGCCCCTCCCTGCCCTCACAGCCCAAAGAGCATTTTGGCAACCTCCTCTCCCTCATCTTCCACCCGCAGCTTTATTAGGTTGCGACCTGGGAGATGCCGGTGGGTTGCTCCCCACTAACCCAATTCTAAGATTTATCTTTTTTATTTTATGTGTGTGTATGAGTGCCTGCCTGTATGTATGTGTACCATATGTGTACGTGGTGCCCACAGAAGCCAGAAGAGGACATTAGATCCCTGGGACTGGGGTTTCATGTGGCTGTGAGCCATCATCCGGGTACTGGGAACCAAACCCAGGTCTTCTACAAGAGCAGCAAGTGCCCTTAACCACTGAACATCTCTCCAGCTTCCCTCCCAACTCTGCACACCCCCAGCCCCCTTTTAAGACAAAGTCTTATTGGCTGAATTGATATGTAGACCAGATTGACTTTAAACTCACAGAGGCCTGCCTCTGCCTCAAAAGCACTGATATTAAAGGCGTGTGACACCATGCCCACCCCACCTACACCCCAATTCTTATTCTTTTATTTTAAAACAATCTTTTCTCATTTTACATAGCAATCGTAGTTTCCACTCTCTCCCCTCCTCCTGTTTTCCCCCCTTCCCCCCACCCCCATCCACTCCTCACAGAAGGTAAGGCTTCCCATGGGGAGTCAACGAAGTCTGACACACCAATCCTTATTCTTGCATAGCTTTCCCAGGAAGCCTTGCAGAAGTGAAGCCCATTCATTTAAGGTCACTGTGCTGAACACTTTCATAGTTCTGGGAATCTGCAAGTCAGTGCTTTATCTGACCTGTGCTGGAGAGGGTGCTCTTAGCTCACTTGTGATCACACAGGTTATGGTGTGTGTGTGTGTGTGTGTGTGTGTGTGTGTGTGTGTGTGTGTGTGTGTGTGTGTGTGTAAGCCTAAACCAAGCCTAAAGATAAATTAGATTAAGTTGTTCAAGTGCACAGAGCTAGTACTGGAACTCAGAAGTGACTGACACAGAGCCTGCCATTTCTACTAAACCACATAGTCACTGTTAAGCTCTTGTAGCAGACTCTTCTCTGAGCCCCTCAGTTGTATGGCACAAAGTTGTGAGAAAAGGGACATTTTCTATCCTATGCACTCATTATTAAGGGGATCTGAGTCCAGCTGTTGATGCTGGCTTCTCTTCTATAACTGATGTGCTTGACTCGGGACACTGTTTTTCCCTTTCTTCTTCCTGTCTCCTTAGTAGTCTGCCTCAAGGGCTTCAGAAAGGACCAGAAATTCCACGCACCAGACAGATGGAAAGGGAATGCCTGTGTCTCCCAGAAAATAATTGTATCATGATTAAAACATGGATATTTCAGGGGTCCTAACTTCAGAACCTTCTTATTTAAAGAAAGGCTTCCAGTACGGTAGAACAAGCAGGTCATTTGACTCCACTCGCAATGCCCAGGTTTTGCCTACACCCTCTGGAAGGACCTTCTTTCTGTTTTGAAAGAGCATCAAAGCTTCTAGGCTGAGAGAACTACAAACCCAAAGCCCTCTGGACCATTCCGGCACTCTCCCATATCAGTCCCTGGTAGATTGTTTCCTCTAAATTCCCTGACTTCTGGGTTTCCTGGGCTATGCTGGATTCTATTCAAGGATGAAGAACCTGCAAAGCAACACCTTTACCTTTGAGTCAGACTTCTCTTGAGACTGTGTGGTATAAGTTATGATGGAAAATGTTGCTCATTATCCAGTCACCCAAAGTCATCACAGACCCCATGGAGTGCAGGTTAAGGTCTTGGGGTCTTGGAAGTAAAGCAGGAGTAAAGCTGAGGTTCAGGCGGCCTTTGCTCCCCGCCCCCTCCCGCCCATCCACTAAAAACAAAGATAAAGGGTTATAGTGCAGCAGAAATGCTACAGCAGGTGCTATGGCAGTCTCTGTGCCCTTCCCCTGTCTCAGGGACAGGTGGGGCTTCTGGGTGGGACTCCTGGTCTAAGAAGAAACATACAGATAACTCAGACTGGACAATATCTCAGAACAGCAGTCCACAAATCCTGTTCCTTCAGCCGAGAAGGAAGCCTTTAGAGTGTAGTGATAGAGGAGGCTGAGACACCTCATCAATCTGTTATAAAGACAGGACAGTAGAGCAGGCATAAATGACACAAGGAAGCCTCCTGGTACCCATTACTGGTTTCTGGCAGAGATTTGATTGATGAGGGAGGAAGCTGTAACTCCCACAGCGGGGGCAAAAGGAGAGATAAATGCTGCTTTTCAAAGGCTTACACAACACAGTAGTAGTTGAAAGGACCATTCACACGTGGCTGTGGAAGGGAACACTGACCCAGAACTCAGAAGCCAGGCTACCTTCGTGAACCCCATGCTATCCAAATTTGGCTTTTTTTTTAATACATGTCACTGTGTGGGCATGTACATTCAAGTGCAAGGACCCACAGGAGCCAGAGGCGGTGGATTGCCTGAATCCGGGGTTACAGAAGGTTGTGAGTGGCCCGGGAACGGTGCTGGGAACTTCTCCAGAAGAGCAGTGTGGACTCAACCGAGCCAGCCCTCAACCCCTAACGCCAGCTTTCAAATGCCTGTCCACCAAAGCCCAGGCTGCCCAGATGCTAACTCACTTTTCCTGCAGTCTCCTGAAGCCTGTTCAGAAGCCGTTCAAGGAAAGAGAAGCTTTTTTAAAAGAGCTAGCAAGTACAGAAATCACAATCTGTCCAATCCAGCACCTCACAACTTCAATCCTGATTTGTGTTCCTGAGGGAAATGAGGTGACTAATCCAAAAGTCAGTGACTTGGGAGTGAGTTTGAAACCATTTCACTTATTCCTTCTTCTCTCCCAACTCCCTACCCAGACAGTGAGACAGGAACCCTTTGAGGAGCAGTAACCCCTGAATTTTTAATACCCTGATTAAGGAGTCCCTCCAGGGCTGCTGAGATAGCTCAGCAGGGAAAGACTGATGTGACCTGGGTTCAATCTGCGGAACCCACAAGATGGAAGGAGGGAACAGATTCCCACAAGTTGATCTCTAACACATGCAGTAGCATGAGCATGACCACACTTACACACACACATTACTAAATAAATTTAAAAACATGTTAAGACATTCTTCCTGTGTTATAATTATAGGGTTTTTGGTTGGTTGGTTTTGGTTTTTGAGACAGGGTTTCTCTGTGTAGCCCTGGCTGTCCTGGAACTTGCTTTGTAGACCAGGCTAGCCTACAAGTTGTTCTCTAACAGCCACGCATATGCCACAATCATTAACACAAACACACTTTCTGACTGCCATAGTCACACCATAGCATGCATTTACCCACAACCTCACAATAAACTACTTAATTATTTAATCATACACAAAAATGTAAAGAGGAAACTAGAGAGACAGTCCAGCAGTTAACAGTGTTTGCTACATTTACAGAGAACCTGAATTCAGATCCTAGCATTCGTGTCCGGTGGCTCACAACTGCCTGTAACTCCACAGCTACCCAAATTCATATGAACATACCTACATACACATGGAAATATATAGAATATATTTAAAATCCTATAGTAATCATGGCATTCAAGTACCTAGGAATAATCTTTTTGTTATTGTTGTTTTGTTTTTTTGAGATAGGGTTTCTCTGTAGCTTTGGTGGCTGTTCTGGAACTCACTCTGTAGACTAGGCTGTCCTCGAACTCAAACTCACAGAGATTCGCCTGCCTCTGCCTCCCGAATGCTGGGATCTCTATGACTTCGAGGCCAGCCTGGTCTACAGAGCGAGTGACATGATAGGCTCCAAAGCTACACAGAGAAACCCTATCTCGAAAAACAAACAAACAAACAAAAAAACTACAAATAAAAGATGATTCTGCTGGGCAGTGGAAGCACAGGCCTTTAATCCTTGCACCCAAGAGGCAGAGGGAGTGGCAAGTCGGTCTCCGTAAGTTCAAAGCCAACCTGGTCTAAAACCAAGTTCCAGGACAGCTAGGGCTTCACAGAGAAACCCTGTCTCAAAAAGCAAAACAAAACAAAAAAAGGTGATTTCAGTCAAAAATGGCATCAATAAAAGAGAAAAGTAAATTGTGAGAAATTCTCACAATGTAATATGACACAGCAAGGAGAATGAACAAAATTTATATAAGGTTGAATCTCATTAAAATAATTTGAACAAACAAAGCCAGATACAAAAGAGTGACTTTCTCTTGAGGGGAGTTAATGATGGGAAAAGGGACTCATGAGTGGCTTCTGGAAATGCTAGTAATGTTGCTTCTTGATTTGGTGCTGGTTACAAAAAATATCCCATTTTTGAAAGTTCATTAAGATATATATGTAATGGCCATGTATGGAAACTCCTACTTTGTAGTCTCAGAATGCTTGAGGGTGAAACAAGAGGATTACCTTGAGTTTGAGACCAGCCTTGACTACATACATAGTGACTTACTAGCAAGCCTGGGCTACAGAACAAGATCCTCTCACAAGCCAACAAAATATACATTTATCATGTCTACATGTACTATGCATTAATTTTTAAAATTATGTCAAAAATACACAGCATGTATCAGTTTTTTAACTAGTGTGGTATTAGAATATGAATAGATCAATGGGGAAAATAGGCTTAAAGAGAGGTCTGGAAAGGTGCCAGTTATTGAGAGCACTTATTATCTCTTGGGAACTGGGTTTGATTTCTAGCATCCATATGATGGCTCACAATCATCCATAAATCCAGTTATAGGAGATCTGAGACCTCCTTCTGGCCTCTTCAGGCCCCAGGCATGCACGTGGTACACAGACATGCATGAAGGTAAAATACCCATACACATAAAATAAATAAGACATACCCCAAGACATTTGGGGATTGTAAAGGTAATATTCAAAAGCAATACAGAAAGTGCACAGAGTTGGATAAACCAAGCTGCATCTCTATCTCACATCTTTATGCCATAATAAATTCCAGAAGAATCAAAATTTATGCATTCAAAATGCCTTTTTAAGGAAAACAAGAGCTTTTAAAAATATTTCTAAGGCCAGTCGGTGGTGGGTATGCATGTCTTTAATGCCAGCACTCGGGAGGCAGAGGCAGGGGGAATCTCTGAGTTCGAGGACAGCCTCCAAAGGCTGTTCTGGAACTCACTCTGTAGACCAGGCTGTCCTGGGATTAAAGGCATGCACCACCAATACCTGGCAAAAAAAAATTTTTAAGTAATAAGAATACTTTTCTAAATGTGATATGAAACCATAAAGTTATAAAAAGTAAATTCAACTATATAGAATTCCTGGGGCTGTGGAGATGGTGCATCCAGTTAAAGGGCTGCTCTGAAAGGACCTAAGGTGAGTTCCCCAGCACCCACAGAAACAGCGTGGTGAGATGGGGAGTGAAGGGACAGGCTGCTCTCTGCACTTCACTGACCATCTGGCCTAGCCTGAACACCAGCTCCAGTGTAGTAACCCGTCTAAGTGGAGCTTCAGATGGATCCAGCCGACTGCAGAGTTCGTTACTATGAGGGGGTTGTGGACTGGCAGACAGCAGGTAAAGATACTAAGGAAGAGATAGAGTGAATACTGAATGCACCAAGTTTATTCTTCAACATTCTTAAGTACCCCAACCAAAAAGGGGAAAATGAAAAAAAGACTTCTTTATCAAGATACAAGGAAAAAAGACTTTCTTCCTTAATTCTCCAAACATTGGTAACCCTCGCCTTAGACTAAATCTCTAACTCGGCCTTGAGGGTTAAGAGTAACCACACCTCAGACCAAGTCTATTGTTATCCACCCCTAAGACCAAACATCCTATGATAGCCCTGCCTTAGATCTTTAGGTTTTATGACTTTAACCTTGGACGAGTAAGGACAGTTTTGAACTCTCTGATCTTAAACCAAGATGAAATAAAGCCATTTTTACAGGACCCTGACACTTCAGGTTCAGAGAGAAACCTTGTCTTAAAAAAAGGGGAAAAGGGTAGGGTGTTGGTGGTGCACACCTTTATTCCCAGCACTCGGGAGACAGAGGCAGGAGGATCTCTCTCTGAGTTCGAGGACAGCCTGGTCTACAAGAGCTAGTTCCAGGACAGCCTCCAAAGCCACAGAGAAACCCTGTCTCGAAAGCTCCCCCGCCCCCTGACAAAAAAAAAACAAAACAAAACAAGCAAAAAACATGCACAGGCATAAAATAAAATGGAAAAATGAACCTGGATCATGGTGATACATGCCCAGGTGGATCTCTGTGAGTTGGAGGACAGCGTGATCTACATGGAGAGCCTCTGTCTCAAAACAAAACAAACAAAACTGGTCTACATAGGGAGTTCCAAGTCAGCAAGGGCAACATAGACATATCTTGTCTTAAAAGTAGTTTTTTAAAATACAAAGTGAAGTATATTTGAAAATGAACATGTTAAAGTTCTGGTTAAATGCATCTTCTACATCCATGTCAAACCTTGAGATTGAACTATGAGGCACAGAGGTATGTTGCTATGAAAACTTTCTAGATTATATAAAAAGGAAGCTACTAAATTATATGTACAGTATGTTTTCAACTGTGTAAAAAATACATTTACATGTGTTTTAACTATGGAATGGCTTGTGAAAATTTCCTCAAGAAACTGGTTGTACTGGTTACCTCTTTAGAGTCATCTTCTACAACAACATTTTGTTACTTGTAACTCTTCTAGAAGGTGCATGTATTATTTACCCAAATATATTTTTTCTGAATGACTAGAAGTCGAGCATGTCTGTACATCCCAGCTACTCAAGAACCTGAGCAAACAAAATTTGAGGACAACCTGGGCAACATACCAAATACCTGTCTCTAAAATAACAGTAATAACAATAACAATAATAATGGGAAAACTGACCCAAAGACATCTGAATGACCGGACACGATGTTGTAGTCACTCAACAAACATTTTTTTTTTTTAGTGTTCACCAAGCTCCAGGCATGACAGATGATAGTTCAAAACATCTCCCGGTGTCTCGGAGCGATTGTGTCCTTGTCACAGCAAGAAGGCGGTAGCAGAGCCAACCGTTCTTAACGGTCCGGGAACGACCCAGGCAGCGGCTGGAATTCAGTTTTTCAAGCAAACTGCTGCCCGCCAAAGCCTCCCACTCCCGCGGGCCGGGATCAGGGCAAGCGGGCGGCGGGGGCGCTCAACCCGCAGCTCCCTTACCCGGGGATGGGGATGGGGTGGAGTTGGGGTGGGGGGGTGGCCACGGTAACTTTCTGTCCACGTGGAGTGTCCAGGGCTTGGCCGCAGTGCCATGGCCATGCAGCACCCGCCCCCATTTCACTCATTTAAACATAGTTGTTTTCCTGTCCCCTAGCCAAGATGGGGATGGGCAACGATCCGGGCAGAAATTTTGCTTTGCTGTTGTTGTTGTTTTTCGAGACAAGCGTTCTCTGTGTAGCTCTGTAGACCAGGCTGGCATTGAACTCAAGAGAGATCGGCCTGCCTCTGCCTCCCGAGTGCAGGGTTAAAAGCGTGCGCCACCACTGCCCCAGGCTTCTCCCGAGGTCAATGAAGTGATTCAGTAGAGCCGGGAACACCCACGAGTGACCCACGCCCCCGCAGCCTCGGAGCATCCAAATCCCTCGCGGGTTGAAGTGGTGCTCAGAGAAGGTCCGAGGACTCCAGGAGCCTCCTGTTGGCTATTTAATTCTCAGCAGGTGCAAGCTCCATTAACAGCATCTGCTTCCCGCGGATCTAACTGGCTAGTGAGGTGGGCGGGCTCGGACTTTTCATCCGGGTAATTGGACTTCAGCGCACATCTGCGCACGTCACTCACGGCAACCCGTGCAAGGATTGGCTGCGGCGTGGGAACGCGATTGGTCAGACTTCAAAACAGGCTTTGATTGGTGCGGGCGTGGCGCGGGGGCGGGGTAAGCGGCTGCTAAATAGCCGCCTGCTAGCCTGATGAGCCGTGGAAGTGACGGAGCAGCGGTGCTAGTGAGGTGCGAGGCGAAGGCGCGGGACTCCGGACGAGAGGTAAAGCCCGGGTTCGAGAGAGGAATTTGGGGCTTGGGAGAGTCTGGGTGGTGAGCAGCCTGGCAACCGGGAGGCAGAAGTGCTGGATTGAGGGTGGGGCGCGTGGGGCGAGGGCCGGGTGTCCGGGTCCTGCACGGGTCACCGTCTGGGGCAGCCGTGCTGGGAGCTAGTAACTGGACCCAGAGCAAGGGCTCTGGCCCCAGCGGCGAGGCTCCCATGCCCGGTAGGGCACTCGCCACACTCTGCACTCCTAGACTGGCTCCTTTTGAACGAGGGGCCTTTTACTTTCTCCAATTTAGTCCGATGGCTGTTTACAGCTGCAGGATATTTCGTTATTTGTTTAGTGACAGGGTCTGTGTCGAGCTGGCTTTGAACTCAAGCTCCTCTAGCCTTTACCTCTGGAGAGATGGAAGTACAGGCAAGCGCCAGAACACTCTACTTTGAATTGATTTTTTTCCTGTAGTCTTCTTTTCTCTTTGTTTGTGAGATGTGGCGCTACTAATAAAAACCCGGTGACAGATATTGGGGTTAAAGCTGAAGTCTGAGAAGCAAAGTGGCCAGCCACTAGAATTCTCACCAATGCTCAGAAGGAATGGGTGATCCTGTTCTCTAGACTACATCTGTCTCCACCAAATCTTAGACTGCACTGAGCTCCTTCCTCTTCCCAGCTTGTACTGGGATGAAAGGCGTGGAATCCCAAGTACTGAAAAAACCTTTGTGTGAGCTGTTTCTGTTTTAGACTGGATCCATTTCTTGTAGTTCAGGAAAGCCTTGAAATAACAGATCTGTCTGCCTCTTTCTACTGCATGTTGGGATTTTTTTTTTTTTGAGACAAGGTTCCTTGTGCACCCCTAGCTGTCTTGAAACTTACTCTGAAGGCCAACCAGGCTACCTTCCAACTCAGAAATCCTGCCTCTGCCTCCTGAATGCCAGGATTAAAAGCATACACCACCATTGTCTGGCTTAGTAGTAGTGGGTGGTTTTTGGTTTTTGTTTTTAATACTGTTTGTTCTCATGCCTGTCTGCCAACAGAACAAGTTGGTGGCAGAAAACTACTTTGATTTGTTTCAGAATACAGCAGAAAATGGCCACTGAACAAACTTCCTGGACAAGCCTGTCCACTATTCAAAAAGTAGCCCTGGGCCTTGGAATCCCAGCAAGTGCAGCAATTGCTTACATCCTATTCCGCCGATACAGGGAAAGCAGAGGTATGTGAACCCATACAGTGCCTGCAATAGTGTTCCATCTTCTCCCTGCTCTGTTAAGTTGAAATAAAAGCTGCCCTTGCCACACCCGTACTGTTAAATAATTCATTTTCTGTGAGAAATGTTTGGAAATGTCGTTTCTTTTGTTACTGGAAAGCTAGTTTATGAAAGGAACTCTCCTGATGTCATTGACTCTTTCCCTTAGCAAAACCAACTATGTGATTTTTGAGTATATATACTCATTCTACTGCTTCTCTCCAACTGTCAGAAAGTAGACCACAGCTGGACCTAGTGAACATACCCCAAAGAAATGACTGTATAAAAATAAGTTTTTAGACTAATGAATGCCTCAGACAACTTCTATTTCTAGCCTTTATGGCTCTATAAGAGTTAGAGTAGCATCCTAAAAACTCAAACTTCTTCAGAATCTTTTCCCATTTTTCTGAAACAGTATCCCAAAGAAAATGCCAAATTGTCTTTGGAGGAGAGCAGACAGAGTGCTGGGGGTTGAAGTTGCCTTTGTGTGTGTGTACACTGCACCCTTAACTTCTGAGCTGTTACACCCAGGCCCAGATCTGGTCCTTGGGACCTTCTAATTCCCACTCCGATTCTATGTCTTGCATTGTGGTTGAGATCCGGTTTGTCTCTTGGATTAGCATCTCTGACAGCCTGACTCAGGGCAGGAATAGTAGTAGCTCTAGTGTATTTAAGTTTGGTCTGTTGTGGTCTACACAGAAGAACGATTAACATTTGTTGGAGAAGACGATATTGAGATAGAGATGCGAGTTCCTCAGGAGGCTGTGAAGCTGATCATCGGTCGCCAAGGAGCCAATATTAAACAGGTAAGTGTGTGAGCAGGCAGATGGTTTTCCCAGGCTTCAGTTCTATCTGCTCCATGCTTCCTTCCTCTGACCACATTACACAGGACACCCACACTGCACATAGTTTTAAAAGAAAAATACAGAAACTTATTAAGCTAACTGCACTGTTCTTTCTAAAAGTTAGTACCTCTCCTCAGATGGTAGATGACTAAGCTTGAGATAGTATTTGATTGGATGATTCTCGGCTTGATATAGCATGAATATTTTTACTAGGTAGTTAATGAGTTCCCATTAAATGACAAAGAAATGCTACTTAGCTATTCTATCTTCCATTGTTTAGCTGAAATGTGAAGAAAGCAAAAATCTTTAGGGATATGGATCATTGCTAAAGTACCTGGGTTTACTCTCTAGAGGAAAAAGAATCGTTATTTGCTAATCCATGCTAAGAGAGCAAACGAGTTGTAAACACAGAGAAATGATTTTAAGTTAACTACTATTCAGATTACTTTTGTCACTAATTTTCATGCATAAATTCAAGTAACTGAAGTTCTGTAAAGTGCATGCCTCCTCTCTGCAGCTGCGGAAACAGACAGGCGCTCGGATTGACGTGGACACGGAGGATGTCGGTGATGAGCGGGTGCTGCTTATCAGTGGTTTTCCTGTTCAGGTGTGCAAAGCCAAAGCAGCAATCCATCAGATCCTGACAGAGAACACCCCGGTGTTTGAGCAACTCTCAGTCCCCCAGCGATCTGTGGGCAGAATCATAGGTACCACTGGACAGCTTCTTTATTCTTTGCCTTTTCTGTCTTTCCCACATTCCCAAGGGTTTTTCCTGGCTTTCCCTTCACTTTGTTAGAGGAGAGAGACACTTAGTTCAGAACTGGTGTTTTAAAAATCAAGAAGCAGGATGAGTCAGTGGATAAACTCCTGCTAAGCCTGACAACTTGAGTTCCATCTGAGGCCCCACATGATGGAAGGCATGCCTTTATTTAAACCCAACACTTGGGAGGCAGAGGCAGGTGGATCTCTGTGAGTTCAAGGCCAGCCTGGTCTAATTAGAGATTTCTGGACAGCCAGGACTATGCAGAGAAACCCTGTCTAGAAGAACAAACAAAAATAAGCTTTTACAGGGATGCTAGTTGTAAATGGAGGCTTTTCTCTGTCCTGCCCAGTCCTGCAGCCATTTCCAAATAACTACTCAGAGGCTTATTATAAATGCTTGGCTGGTGGCTCAGGCTTATTACTAACTAGCCTCACGTTGGGTGCCAGATAAAGTGACAATCTGCAGAAATACAAGGGATGAAATGGAAAAAACACTCATGAATACAGAATGAAGTGACTTGGCTGCCTCTTCTTCCGCCAGGGAAGAATGGGGACAGCTACAGACCAGGTCACCTAGTCATGGCATCAGGAAGCCTTCCACATCCTTAGAGAAGAAACCACACCCATCAGGCCAACCCATTCCATTGATCATTAGACCAAATGGCCAAATTCCCACAACAGCTAGTGTTTCCCTGGACCATTCCTTAGTGCTGCTATTAGAGGTAAAGAAGTATCCTGTCCTCCTCAGTTCAGGGTTCTGACACACTCTATACCATGTGTCTTACAGATGAAAAGAGAAAGTATAGCTGCTGTGTAGCCAACAAGTGTGAATGTCCTGAAGTTACTCTGTCCAAAGCAAAAGTTTTTTAAAAAATGGTTAAAACAGTCCTATATTTATTCTCTTTTCTCCAGTAATTACTTCAGTAGCTGTTTTACGTTCTATGAGCACTGACTTGTAACATGTACAGAATGACTTCTCTTACAGTGAATGTTGGACTAGAGGAATGACAGGTTTTTCTGTATTAATGTAGGGAGAGGTGGCGAGACGATTCGTTCTATCTGTAAGGCTTCTGGAGCCAAAATTACATGTGATAAAGAATCAGAGGGAACGTTACTACTGTCAAGACTTATAAAAATCTCTGGAACACAGAAGGAAGTGGCAGCAGCTAAGGCAAGTATACCAGAGAATGAGGGTGGCCCTTCTGGCCATCATGTCAGTATCTGGCTACCCAAAAATGACCCCTCTCTCTCTCTCATTTCTCACAGCATCTGATACTGGAGAAAGTATCAGAAGATGAAGAACTTCGAAAAAGGATTGCCCATTCTGCTGAAACCAGAGTTCCACGAAAGCAGCCAATCAGTGTTAGAAGAGAGGAAGTGATGGAGCCAGGTGGGGCTGGCGAAGCCGCTCTCTGGAAGAGTACCACTTCTAGCATGGGCCCAGCCGTACCCCTGGAGGTTCCTCTCCGCAAAGGTGGTGGCGATATGGTTGCTGCAGGACCAAAAGAAGGTTCCTGGGAGAAACCTAATGATGACAGCCTTCAGAACCCTGGTGCCCAGAACAGTCCAGAGACGTCCATGTTTGAAGGTATGTAATGAAGAGGAGCCTACTAACCATTTGAAAGATAGGAATACTAGATTAACTAACCTAAAATAGGAAACAATTACATTCTGTTTGATTTCTGTCTGTCATAGATAATTCCTTCCTGCTAATACTTAGAGTAATACCAAACAATAATGTCTGAGTACAGCTAATGAAAACTGAGATAGAAATGTTCACAAAGGAAACATCTGAGTAATAAATTTGTATTATAGTCTCTACAGGTTTAGTATGTGTGCGCTCATGAACACTTGCTTGTATGTATGTGTTCATGCAGGGATGGGGTGTGGGACATGCATGTGAATGCATGTGTGCATGTGCATGGAGGCTAGGTCACCAGCTTTCTAGGTTGCTCCCCAGGAGCCATTTACCTTATTTTTCTCAGGTGAAGCCTCTTTACCGGGACCTAGGGCTTACTGATTAGACTAGACTGACTGGCCACTGAACCCCATGGATCCCCTGCCTCCGAGGCATGGAGGTTAGGATTACAGTCATATGCCATCATATCATGATTTTTATGTGGGAGCTGGGGACAGTCCTCATGTTTGCATGGCAACTACTTCACAAGCTGAACAATCAGCCCCAGCCCCAGACATAATTTTTTCCTTTTTAAAGATTTATTTATTTATTACATATACAGTGTTTGCCTTCATATCAGAAGAGGGCACCAAACTGAATTGTAGATGGTTGTGAGCCACCATGTGGTTGCTGGGAATTGAACTCAAGACCTTTGGAAGAGCAGTCAGTGCTCTTAACCTCTAACATCTCTCCAGCCCCATAACTTTTTTCTTTCACACTTATTTTACATCATTTTTATTTTGTCTAAAGTTAAAGCATGACCCCCTGCCCTGTGGGAGGGGGAAGTTTAAAAAAAATTTCATGTGTCATATACAATGTATCTTGATAGCTAGTTACCCTGTGCTCCCCCAACACACATCTTCTCCCAACTTTATTTTTTTAGAACCCACTGAGTCCAGTTAGTGCTATCCAAACTTGCATGAGTGTGGGGCCATCCACTGGGCAACCGACAAGTGGCTACATTCCCAAAGAAAAGTGACGCCTCCCCTACCACCTAACAATGCCAATATTTCCTTAGCCACGCGTAGTGTCTCAGGCGCCCTTCTATTGATGCTAGAATTTTTTAACTGGCTTGATCTTGTATAGGTGACTGCAGCTTCTTCTGAGTTCGTGTATCCAAGTGCCTTGTAATGTCCAAAAGACCACATTTTACAACACTCCTCACCCTCTGGCACTTACATTCTTTCTGTCCCCTCTTCCATGGTGTTCCTGGAGCCTGGTGGGAATTGGGGGTTGCTATAGATCTCCTGGCTGTTATTGCTAAGTACTCTCATCTAGGCATACTTTTGCATAAGAAATTTTCAACCTTGTTTTTATATTGCCTGTCTCATTACTGTTTCTAAATGTCATTATTGAAGAATGAGGTGGCCATGGGCTTCCTCTTCTATACACAGGTGCTAGCTTGAGCAAGAAAGGTCAGAGCCCCCAAAGAAGCTTGCCTAGGTTCCCATTATAATCCCTGGTAGAAGAGAATCTGTAATAAGAATAATTGCTATCTGTGTCCTTTTTTATTGATCCTGCTAGGCCTAGCCTTCACTGTAATTAATTGCTGCCTCATTTGAGTTCATGGATAATGACAGTGTAAATAAACTTGGTTACATAAAAAGATATAGAAGATTATTTGGGTCAACAAATTATCCCTCATTTCTAAACTGGTACTGGGAATTTGTATCTTTCATCTCCCTGATGCAATCTCCCTATTCCAACCAAAGATGCTATTGATACGGTCTCCATACTTACCCTGTGTTCAGTTCCTAGTCCTGACTTCAGTTTCCATGCCGATGAGTACCTAGAAGTCTACGTTTCTGCTTCTGAACACCCTAACCACTTCTGGATCCAAATCATTGGCTCCCGCAGCCTCCAATTGGATAAACTTATCATTGAGATGACCCAGCACTATGAAAATAGTCTGGTGAGTTGCTATAGGGAGGTTAGGCTGGGGTTTATCTTTTTCACTGTAAAATGTTCCTTTCTGTTATTCTCTATTAGCTACCATGTCATCACTTCATAATAACTCCCTCTTGACTTCCCATCCCCATGTATAGCCTGAAGACTTGACTGTAAACGTAGGAGACATTGTAGCAGCACCTTTATCTACAAACGGCTCCTGGTATCGAGCCCAGATTCTTGGTACCCTGGAAAATGGGAACTTGGACCTCTATTTTGTTGACTTTGGAGATAATGGAGATTGCCCACTGAAGGATCTCAGGGCTCTCAGGTGAGTGCAGAGCTAGTGTGGAACCTGCTAGCATCCCAGCTGTTGGCTCACTTCTGCTGATAGTGGTGAGCTGTTGGCATATCATCAAGGAGATTTAGAAAGGAACGTGTATACCTGGGATTCTAATTTCCATTTCTTTAATTTTAGGAGTGACTTCCTGAGCCTTCCTTTTCAAGCAATAGAATGTAGTCTGGCACGGATCGCCCCCTCAGGTAACCCAGTCATGCCACCTACTGCCTTTACCTCCAAACAGTAGCTCTCACAGCCTGTAAGAGGAAATCTCAGGTTCCCTAGCTTTTGAGTTCTGGAGACTCGGGTGCCTTTTCCTTATCAGCACTAGAAAGCAAGACAGAAACTTGCTTGGCAGTCAGATCCAAACCCACCAGAGAAGTACATTCCTGGGAAGAGCATAAGAACATTCGTGGATGTATTTTCTTATCAACTCTGAGACTTTCTCCTTATGATCTTCCAGGTGAACAGTGGGAAGAGGAAGCTCTAGATGAGTTTGACAGACTCACTCACTGTGCTGACTGGAAGCCATTGGTAGCCAAGATATCTAGCTATGTCCAGACTGGAATTTCAACTTGGCCAAAAATCTATTTATATGATACCAGCAATGGGAAGGTAAGGGTGGGGTTCATATTGCTTTGCTGCGTCATCTATATTTTCTTTCCCAGAAATCTTTATCTGATAATTAATCATTTATACTCTGAAAGATCTACTGACCATCTCACCCCATTTTGGTTGCAAATTTGCTCATCCTTACAACAGAGCATCATTGCTTTCTTATTTTCCTTTTCAGAAACTTGATATTGGGCTAGAATTAGTTCGTAAAGGATTTGCAGTCGAACTTCCTGAAGATGTGGAAGAAGATGGAACTGTCCCAGATATGTTGAAGGACATGGTGAGTCTCTGTAGTCATTTAAGGTACTTCTTCCAGTGCTTAGAGGCACTTAGTTATAACTTTTTTTTTTTTTTTTGGTTTTATGAGACAAGGTTTCTCTGTATTGTTTTGGAGGCTGTCGGTCCAGCCTGGCCTCAAACTCACAGAGATCCACCTGCCTCTGCCTCCCGAGTGCTGGGATTAAAGGAATGCACCACCACCGCCCGGCTTAGTTATAACATTTTTAAAGATTTTTTCATGTGTTTTGCCTGCATGTGTATCTTTATACTACATATAGGCTTCTCCCTTCCCACCAGTCAAGATACTTTCTTTTTCTCTTCCATGCCCTAAGGCCATGGAAACAGATACTTCTCTTGCCAGCATACTCAATGAGACCAAAAAGAGCCCTGAAGAGTTACCACATACCCTGTCCTGCCTCAGCTTATCAGGTACAAACAGCAATGCTGTTTTTTTTGTTGTTGTTGTTGTTATGTATACAGTGTTCTGTCTGCATGTATGCCTGCAGGCCAGAAAAGGATATTATTATAGATGGTTGTGAGCCACCATGTGATTGCTGGGAATTGAACTTAGGACCTCTGGAAGAGCAGTCAGCTCTCTTAACCTCTGAGCCATCTCTCCAGCTCCAGCAATGCTGTCTTGCAGCATCTGTGAAAGTTATTTTTCTTAATCTGTCCAGATTAGGGAGGTCAGTTACAGCTTAGTTCTGGGACTAGGGAATATAACTTGGTTGGTAGAGTACTTGACTAACATGCACAAAGCCCTGGATTAGATCCTCAGGACTTCATAAAACTGTGGAGGCTCACATGCCTATAATTCCATCATTGGTAAGTGGAGGAAGGAGCATCGCAAGATCAGGGTCATACTCAGCTCTGTTTGAGGCCAGCCTGCACTGCATGCAACCCTAATACAAATTAAGTCACTTGGCCCTTAGGACATTGAGCACCAACCACCCATTTTCCTGCTGAGCTTCACTGGCAGTACGTGCTGAAATAAAAGCAATACCATGTTCTCTTTCTGTTCACTACTAGAAGCTGCCTCTATCTCTGGTGATGATAATCCTGAAGACTTATTCTGAAGTCTGGGCTGCAGCTACTGGACCAGCTGTCTGCTTTGTGTGAGTGCTGTCATTTGTCTGTAGCAGGAGGAAAGTAATGAGGGCCTTTATTACCTCTTCCTTCTGCTTGCTCTTTTGTGTATTTCCCTGCAGCATCTTTGTAGCTTAACTTGCTCTATAAGTTTTTTGTCTTGTGTCTTTGGCAGGATTTGGTACCAGGAGAGAGGAGTCTGTGATATACAGAGACCCACAAAGTTCTTTGTTTCACATGGCGTGGCTTGCTATGGATCAAATCCATTTTTCCGTTCCATTGGACTACTGGAAAGTGGCAGATGGAGACAGATTTCTCCATGGCTGGTTCCTCCCCCACCTTTCAATGTTTGGATGCTCCTGTGTAATCCCAACCTCTTCATATCAGGTTCATTCTCCTGCCAGTAATAATTTGCATTACTGCTGGACTGCATTCTTTTTGAGGCTGGGAAACAGCCAGAGTTTGGGCATGGAGAGTGTTTCTGCGGATTTATGACCCACCTTATCAGTATTTGGACTCTGAAGACTGCAGTTGTCAGTTGTCAGAAGACAAAAGGAAAAATCAGCATCAATATAAAGGTCTTATGGAGGGGGAGTGCTACCTCTCACCCTCCATTGCATTGCTGAGGTTTTTGAAGATAGTTTTTTTTTTAAATAGTCCTTCAGCTATTTCTTTATGAACTTTAGTTTAAATACAAGTAGAAGAAATGGAGAGACAACTTAGGAGACAACTTAGGAAATGTTAAATTAACAGTTTGTGAAATAAAGAATGTACTTCTGCTTGGAGAATTGTTTGCTGAATGAAGTTCTCTAAAATATACTCACCACTTGGAAGTAGGCCTGTGGGTAAGGTCTCAGAATCTGGATAATCTTGGTAGTAATTGCCAGCCACCTCACATACAGATGAATGAAGGGTCCTTCCCATCCAAACATTCACATTCTACCTCAGTCAGTCACTCAGAACCATGACCCGTTTCAGCTATGCACACAATCCCACCTACACTGTAAGAGGCCTGGATTAGGACTCTCAGGTTCCAGGAGTAGGTCTTCCCTGAAAGACTTGAGGTGCCCTGCTGTTTGTCTAGCATCTCCATTTGCTGAAGGTATTCTTAAGACTCCACTGAGAGTCGTGACAGTACTTACAAATATGAATGCACGATAATGTAACAATGGTTAGGAAACAAGGTGAGGTAAACTGGGATACATAAAATGAATACATGGGTCTTTAGGGTTACCCTAAACCCCAGGGAAGTGAAAGTTAAAAATCTTGCCTGAGGCTGGGTGTTGGTGGTGCACGCCTTTAAGCCCAGCACTCGGGAGGCAGAGGCAGGTGGATCTCTCTGAGTTCGAGGACAGCCTGGACTACCAAGCGAGTTCCAGGATAGCCTCCAAAGCCACAGAGAAACCCTGTCTCGAAAAACCAAAAAATATATATATATTGGCTGCTCTTGGCAGAGAACCCAAGTCCAGCTTCCAATACCCATATGGTGACTCTCAACTTGTAATTCCAGTCCCAGGAGATCTAGTGCTCTCTTCTGGCCTCTGGGCACCATGTGTATGTATATGCATGTAGGTAAATGTGCATGCACCTAAAATAACAGTTATGACACCTCAGCACTTGAGGTAGAAATGGAAGCATGGATGTGAGATACTGGGCTACATGAGACCCCTACCATTTTTTCCAGTACACCCCAGTATTTGCTGCTGTCTGGAATACTTTCTTCTGTTATCTGTTATAATACTATCGGTTTTCTTCACCTCCAAAGAGGAATTTGCACTTGTCTAGTTTGAATCGAAATCTATGAATGCATCCTAGCATGGCTTAGTCTTTGTGTACTTTCTAGTTGACTGGTCATTGATCTTGGCAGGTGCTCAATGGTAATGGAAAAATGGTTTAGGGACAAGAAGGCAAAAGGAGTCCTCTATGTGTGACTCAGATTTTTTTCAATCATTAAGTATGTCCTGCAGTTAATTTATCTCTAGGAGGTTCATATTCCATTCCAATATCCGCTCCCAAGAAATAGTGAACACTTTGATTGCACTACCCTTTATTTCCTAGGATGGAGGTGTCTCAAATCACATCCTGGGCCCCAGAGTCCCGTATGTTGAGGTTTCTGGCCCCTCACAGAGATGGAATAAACATGTTCAGGGAGGCTCACTGGCCAAGCTGGTCAAGGTCCCTTTCAAGGGGATACACCATGAAGATGACATTGTCCCAGGGAGGGAGAGCAGGATGATCTGGTCTGACCACCTCAAAACCCATGTAGCTAAAGGCTCGAAGCAGGGCACCTGTAGAACAGAACAAAAAATTAGCACATCCACTGAAACTCAGTCTATGTAACTCAATGATTCGTTTTCTTCAAGGAGTGACTCTGGAAAGCAGTGTAGTGAAGCTAAGCTTAGGGGCCTTAGGGTGTGCTTTGGAGTGATAGACATAGGCCTACCCTGCCTTTAGTGTTAACCTTTCAGATCTCCAGTTTACTTGTTTGTAAAGTGTGCATGAGAACCTTCCTCACAGATTTAAGATGTGATTATTCAAGTACTTAGTGCAATGGTGGCATTCTAAGTTCTAAAATGGTATCTGTTATTGCTGACAATTAAGCAGCATCTTTTTTGTTTTGCTTTGGGATCTCACTAAGTAGCCAATCTGACCTTGAGTGTGGAATTCTCCTGCCCTAGATTTCCAAACTCTGGGAGACTGGCTTATACCACCAGGCCCAGTTCATCTTGTCTTATATCCAGCAGAGTATAAACTCTGAAAGATGAGCACTAATATATTGCATCTGGTTAAATGTGTTCCTGTCCTTGTAGCCTGCAGTGAAGGCTTGGCACATTGGCTTGACACCTTTTCTCACTTCACTGCATCCTTGAATGGACCCTGTGTAATTTCTCTAGTGCTCGAAGCCTTGTGCCGGACACCACCTGCAGGGGCTTCTTGTCAATCCAGTTGTAATGGGACAGAATAGAATGCTGTGTGCCTTCATTTCCTTTGCAGGAGAAGTGGGGACTGGGACGCTGAAATGCCAAGAGGAGGGACTTGACTTATCCCAAGATACGTAAGCACACCTCTGTCCTTCCGATCGTTTTGGAAGTTCACAAACACAGAGTCCACATTGGTCTTCTCCTCCACATACTCCAGTGTTGCTGTCAAACTAGAGGCCAGAGAGAAAGTTAATGTTCATCTAACTCTAGAAAGTCAGAGCAGAAGTACTGGTGTTTTCTCTCTACCTACAGAAACTGGGAAATTAGAAGTTGCTAATAGAGTTTAAGTGGCTTTTCTCTGAAACCAAGGGATTCCACCTGACTGAGGTGTATGTCACAGAAGGGGTCATGGTTGAAGGGACCGCTGAAAAGCAAAAGTATTCAACTATTTGGATGCTCACTTTGGTGTTCTGAGTCCAACAACTGGCCCTCAACCTAAAATTATTCCTCAAACGCCAAGATCTTATCTGTGTGCTAAGAGTGTGCTCTATGTATGACTCAGCTCCTAAGTCACTATGACATGATAAATGGTGGAATACATCATCTCTTCCCCACACCCATCCAGCTCCTTACCTTTCTCGGTTGCCTTGATCCAAGGCCCTATATGGGATATCCAGGAAGAGTCGATGGTCACACAGAAGGCCATGCCAATGAGCAGAAGAATGGGGGGTGAGGCGAAAGTGGAATTCTAACTGAACTGGATCTTGGTGAAGCAGGGGGTTAGTTGATAGCACTGTCAGGTTCCCAGCCTAGAAAAGAAAGAAACTGAAGTTATAATCTATGCTCATTGAGTCTTCAAATCACACATAGGGCAAACTGGTGTGCTTTTGTAGAGCCAACGAGAGGCAGATGAGGGAGGCCGAGCAAGTAAAAACATCCCTTAGTCCTAGGTATAGTCACCTGATACTGAGTTCTACTTGAGGCCAAATACCTAGGATTACTTTCTAGTGCTGGAAAGCTCAGGGTGTCGTCTTGCTCATGCTATATTCCCAGCCCCATTTTTACTATTTTTAGTGGGGTTGGGGGATAAGGTCTTGCTAAGTCGCTGAAGCTAGCGTTGTATTGACTTTGTATTCTAGGCAGCCCTTTCAAGAAACTGGGATTACAACCCTTTTACCACTATAATCCTCTACCTTCGGTCCTACTTTCCCATCCTGCTGCTTGCTACCAACTATATGACCTTTAGATCTCTGGGCCAGAATCCATCTAGAAAGCAAGTAAATTTTATGTGAGAGCTCATATAAATTTTACCTAGCTCTATTTTTTATGGTTATCAATCTTCCCTCAACAAAGTCATTACAGCAATCAAAGAGCTGCCCTGACATAGCACCAGCTCACGGTCTACTTACCGAGTACAGTTCTTTAAGCTGGCTGTGGTCTTTCTCCCGCTCAGTGCTCCTGCCCACCTGGAGGCCTCCTAGGGACTCAGGAGCACTGGAGGCAGCAATGGGGCCAGCAATGGGGCCGGAGTGTCAGGTCCTCCTGTTCTTTGTAAGTGATGCTTGTTTGGGAAAGAGAGACTCAAATTAGTTCACCTCAGAGCCTGGGATGAAGAAACTACGAAGGTAGCTAGCTTCCTGACTTCAGCTGCACGGGACCAGTCTTCAACACTGTTCCCTGTGTCACCTATGTATGGACTCGCTTATTTTTCCAAGCCAACCAAATAGAAAAACTATACAAATCCATACCAGGCTTCTACCCTGCCACTTAGGAACTTCTTTCAAATTGTTTTTTTATATACTTTATGTAAACCGTAATTAAAGATAAAAACAAGTACCTTCTGTAACACCAAGGCAGCATCTTCTCCCGGAGGGTGAGTCGGTATTTGTAACAGTAGAGGTAATAGGCGTATGGTGACCAGAATGGGTAGAGGTAGTTCCGTGTTCTTCCCCTCTTGATATAAGAAAGGGAGTAGAGAGAGGGGCGGGACCTGTTACAAGGCAGTTTCTCTGTTCAGTGCCTCCCTGCGGCAAAGTGAGGTTCAGAGGACGGGTGGCGGAAGATCAGGCAACCTTGTCATTATGACCTGGCAGGCACTGTGACATAGACAAGATGTCAGTGCTTATGTCACTTCAGTTTTACCCTATCCTGTCCCATTAACCAAGGCTCATATTCAACTAGTAGAATTTTACAACTGTACTGTTAGATAAAAATGTTTTAAAACTTGGCAGGTAGTGCTGGCTCACATCTTTAATCCCAGCACTTTTGAGGCAGAAACAGGCGATCTCTCTGTGTTAAGGCCAGCCTGGTCTACAGAGTAAATTCCATGACAGTCAGGACTGTTTCACAAAGAAACCCTATCTCAAAAAACAAAATAAAAAAAAATAAAAAAGATCTTTAAAACTCATCTACTGTTAGCCAGGCAATGGTGATACACGCCTTCAATCCCAGCACTGGAAAGGCAGAGGCAGGAGGATCTCTGAGTTCGAGACCAGCCTGGTCTACAAGACCTAGTTCCAGGACAGCCTCCAAAACCACAGAGAAAGCCTGTCTCGAAAAACCAAAAAAGAAAACAAAAACAAAAAAAGGAAGCAGTCTAAGTTTGAGCAAGCCATGAGGAGCAAAGCAGTAAACAGCATTCCTCCAGGGCCTCTTCAGTTCCTGACTCCAGGCTCCTGCCTCAAGTTCCTGCCCTGACTTCTCTCAGTGACAGACTGTGACCTGAGAGCTGTAAGATGAAGTAAAGCCTTTTCTCCCTAAGTTGTTTTTGGTCATGGTGTTCTATCGCAAAAATAGAAACACCAACTAAAACACTGATAAAATTTAACATTAAGGACAAAATTTGGTTCTAGAACCAACTTCTTCGAATTCGTTATGCATCAGTTCAGATACTGAGGGCCCACTATAAGCCAGGCACCTCTATGGTGCTTCGGCCATGTCAGTGAACAACAGGCCTGTGCTCTATAGAACTTTTGAGCATGAGAGAACAAACTACATAAGGATATAGAAAGTAAGTATATCAGAAGACACCGGTTAGAGGGAAACAGGTTAGAAGAGGGTCAAGCTGGGTGTTGGTGGCTCACGCCTTTAATCCCAGCACTCGGGAGGCAGAGGCAGGCAGATGTCTGTGAATTGGAGGCCAGCCTGGTCTACAGAGTGAGTTCCAGATCAGCCTCCAAAACAATACAGAGAAATCCTGTCTCGGAAAAAAAAATGAGGATCAAGTCAGGTGTGGTGACAGAAACCTTTAATCTCAGCACTTGGGAAGTAGAAGTAGGTGGATCTTTTGAGTCTGAGGACAGCCTGGTCTGTGTAGTGAGTTCCAGGCCAACCAGAACTACACTGTGAGACCCTACCTCAAAAATGCAGTATGGGATGTGCAGTAAGGTTTCAGCACAAGTGTTCCAAGTAGGCTTCATTGAAAAGAGGATCAATCAAAGATACAGGGAGTTAACAGTCAAGCATGATGGAGCATGTCTTTTTTTTAATTTTTTATTTAATTTAAATTAGAAACAAGCTTCATGAGTCAAACCCAGCTCCCTCTCCCTCCCCTCTTCTCCCTCCCCCTTCAACCCTTCCCCAACCCCTCCTCCAATCCCTACTCCACTGATGGAGTATATCTTTAATCCCAGATCCCAGGAGGCAGAGGCAGGCAGATCTCTGAGTTTAAGACCAGCCTTGTCTTCAGAGAGAGTTCCAGGACAGCCTGGGCTATAGAGAGGCCCTGTCTCAAAAAAAAAAAAAAGGGGGGGGAGGGAGCTGCTGGAGAGATTGCTTAGAGGTTAAGAGCACTGGCTGCTTTCCAGAGGTCCTGAGTTCAATTCCCAGCAACCACATGGTGGCTCACAACCATCTGTAATGAGATCTGGTGCCCTCATCTGGCCTGGAGGCATACATGCAGACAGACATAGTGTACATAATAAATCTTTAAGGAAAAAAGAGAGGCTTGTAATAGGGCTAATCTGGGAAAGCTACTTGCTGCCAAGCCTAATGGCCTGAGTCTCTAGAACCCATACAAAGACAGAAGAGAGCAGACTCCTGCTGACCTCCATATACGCCCCAACCTCCAACCCAACCACTGGCTAAGAATCGTTTTTTAAAGCATGCCATATGTAGTCATTCTTTCATGCAAAACACTTCTCAGACACTTCCCCTTTACTCAAAAGCTCATAGAATGGTGTAGGGAGCCCTGTATCATGTGCCCTATTAACTCCTGTTCCCTGTAACGTAAACTGCCCCATTCGCCTTGCTGTTGAACACAGCAGTCTTAGATTTTACATTGGCTGTTGCTTCTAAATGGGATGATCCTCATCTATAGACATTAGCTTTGTTAACAGTCTTTTTGTTTGTTTGTCTGTTTGTTTTTTGTTTTTCGAGACAGGGTTTCTCTGTATTGTTTTGGAGGCTGTCCTGGAACTCACTCTGTAGACCAGGCTGGCCTCAAACTCACAGAGATCCACCTGCCTCTGCCTCCCAAGTGCTGGGATTAAAGGCGTGCACAACCAATGCCCGACCTAATTTTACAGTTGGTGTGTGTGTGTGTGTGTGTGTGTGTGTTATATGCATGTTTGCATTTGTGGAAACAAGATCTTGTTATTTCTGCTGCTACACTATGAACTTGAGCTTCTGGTCAATTCTGTCTCTACCTCCCATCTCACCATAGGAATGCTGATTACAGACTCAGGCAACTCAAGTCATCTGGCTTTTGTGGGTTTTGTGTGTTGTGGGACTCTAACCCAGGTTGTCAGGGTTGCACAGCAAGCGCTTTAGCTACTGAAACGTCTTTCCAGCTGTCACTTAGATTTAAAACGTTTTCCTTATTTCCTTTTCTTCTCTCCTTTTCTTTGATCATATTTGTGTCGTGTCTGGGTTTCAAAGTGTAACAATTATTTTTTAATCCAAGATGTGTTCCCACTCATCTTGAATCAGGTGCTTTCAGTGCTGCTTCCTCCCTAAGGAGCCTCCTTCTGTCAGCCTTGCTTTTCCGCCGTAGGCTGAGAGAGGACAGTGGGGCGGCCAACACAAGACTACCATGTGTACTTGGCTAAAGACCGTGGTGATTTTATAGCGTCCTGGACACTTCACATCCATAAAGTAGGAATTGGGGCTCTGCACCAGGCGCTTTTTCTTGTGTTTCCTCTCTTCCTCTTCTGGAGAGGGATGAAGGAGATTCTCCCCTTGAGAGCGAGGAGAGCTCGCCCCTCGCCGCCCGTGGCAGCCATCTTAACTCCTCTGCGCTCCAGTCTACGCCGGTGGCTTGTGGGCCGCCGAGGTGTGGGAATTAGAAAGTGTATAACAGTCTTACAGGAGCTGACCCAGGTAGTCGGGAACTTTGATAATTGTTCTGGGAGGGGTGGGGTGAGGCAGGAGGGAGTGGAGATGGTGAAGCTATTCCTGGAACTCAGTAACTGAAAACATAACTTCCTATCTGCCTTTAGCCTTTTGTAGATGAATTATGTGCTTATCTGCAGAGGGAAGCAGAAAACCCAGAAGAGAAGAGACGAGTCCACAGGTCAATGAGACCATTGTTTGGACAGTTCTAGCCATAGACAACCTCCCTCCAGCTCTCATTCACACAGCTAGCCAGCCTACAAGGTAACAGTGGCAAATGTTTGGAGTCTGGAGATAAGTAAAAAGAAGAACACATGGGGTTTTCTGATGGCCTGTGAGATAAAAAAAAAAATTTCTCAGGACCCAGAGGACCAGAGGTGGATCTGCGGTGAAAGCCTCCTCCTCGAGGACTAGCTTCAATGGTACCAGAAGGTGCCATGGAAGCTTCCAAGGGAGGGAAGCAACTGATAATTCTACCTACTATGATGCCTACGAACCATAACAATGGCCAGCATGCCATGCATATCATGGCAGTAACCAACAACTCTCTAATTGTTCTTAAGGTCCTCTCAACAAGAGGGAAATCAGGCCTGGTACTGGAAACCCAGCCTACCCAGGGCTAGTGAAGTCATGGACCTTGAAGGAGAACGTGTATCCTCCACCTTAGTAAACCAGCATATCTCTAACTACATCCTTATATCCACAGATAAGTGTGATGCTTGGTGCTTATCAAGGAAGGCCTTTGTAACAGGTGAACATCATTCCAAAACACCACAACCATCAAAATGCAGAGTTGTGAACTTATACGTCTATAACATAACTTCACCTAAAGTTTAAGGACTGATGTAGAACAGAGGTTCTCAATGAGGGGGGGAGGGGACATAACAACTTCTTTGGAGGTCAAATGACCCTTTCACGGGGGCCACATGTCAGATATCCTGCATATCACATATTTACATTATGATTCATAACAGTAGCAACAAAATAATTTTACGGTTGGGGATCACCACAACATGGGGAACTGTATAAGCATTAGGAAGGTTGAAAACCACTGTTGTAGAAGAGACAGAAAGATTATAGGAGCCAAAGAAACGGGAAGTTTGCTATGAGCTAGTGTCTCCTAGGAACCTCAGGGGAGCTATACCCACGAAGTCTTCACAAACACAGCTGCCTAAACAAGATCTGAACAAGGAGGACACTAATATACATGCTAATGAGAAATGGAAAGGCCTCAACCCTAGATGAAGAACCACAGACAACTACAGATTGCAGAGAGCAGAAGAAATAGTCTTCCCCAGGGAAGAGCACACCAATTGTCAGCCCTAAAGACATATGCATGCAAGTAACATACAGACTGAGCAAGTTGTATTTCTATACTTAAGACTATATAGGGGGCTAGAGAGATGGCTCAGAGCACTGGCTGCTCTTCCAGAGGTCCTGAGTTCAATTCTAACAACCACAAGGTAGCTCACCACCATCTATAATGAGATTTGGTGCCCTCTTCTGGCATGTATGCCTACATGCCAGAACACTGTGTGTATAATTAATAAATCATATATACATATACATATATACATATTTATATGCAGTGGTAGGGCACACCTTTAATCCCAGCACTTGGGAGAAGCAGGCAGATCTCTGGTCTACAAAGTGAGTACCAGAACAGCCAGGACTGTTACACAGAGAAACCCTGTCTAGCAAAACAAAACAAAACAGCAACAAAGGGGAAAGAAGCCTTGAATTTTAGAGAACAAGGAGAAGTACACGGGGGGGGGGAGGATAGAGGGAAGAAAAGGAAAGGAGAAATATCTCAAAAGATAAAAGTGTAAAATTTTTAAATAATAGAAATATGTGTCCAAGAACTGAAGAACAAAGCTATCAACTGAAATGAGAACGCCTGCAGGTAGGGCAGCTTTGGAAGAATGGGTATAAATCGGTTAACTTTTTAAAAATTTCTTTCTTATTTATTATGTAGTGTTCTGTCTGTATGTATGCCTGCAGGACAGAAGAGGGCACCAGATCTCAATACAGGTGGCTGTGAGCCATCATGTGGTAGCTGGGAATTGAACTCAGGACAGAGCTCTGGAAGACCAACTAGTGTTTTTAAGCCACCTCTCCAGCCCAAATCGGTTAACTCTTAAATGTTTGTTAGACAGGTAAGAAGATAATAAGATGCTGAGAGATTTGTGGGAAGTCTAGGATAGCAATTTAGACATCACTGGCACATAACTAGCAGCCATAAGATAGAACTGAGAGCATCAAGAGAGTAGATACTGAGTACAATTCCACATACTGAGTGCAGGGCGCAAAAGCTAAAAAGGCTGTTGAAGACTATTGCCCTGGGAACCACGGGAACGCATGTAGGAAGGCAGTCTACGTAAGGGCACATGCAGTCTTCTCTGTAGACCCTCTTTCGGTCCATTTTAATAATCTACCCAGTACATAGACTCCACAGAAGCAACTGTGTGGTCCTTACAGTAGTTTCTTTTTCTGTATATCCTATGTCTCCCGCAACTCTAAATATTAGCTTAAATGCTATAGTGTAACAATATCATGGAGAGTTAGCAGAGCTTTTAGAGGATCCCACCCTTCGACAGCTTTTAGACAGACTCAAAGGAAAATTGATAGCGGCACCCATATTCTTTTAGCATTCAGAAATTACAGCATATCAAAATTAGAAATGAGCTCAACAACCAGAACTAAATTCATCCATTTTTATTGTCATCATTAGTTTTTTTTTTTTTTACTATTGATTTCGCTGGCCTAGAGCTTGCGGTGTAAATCAGGTTAGCCTGGAAACTGTCCTGTTGAAAGGTTACAGGCATGCGTCACAGCACCCCCTCCGCTTATCTTTTTAAAAGTGAAGCTAAAGAAAAGATATGGTTTCCGTTGTCAGTCCACTCGATGCTCATTACATTATCTGTAGAAAGGAGTGACGAAAACAAATAGCAGTTCTCCCCATTGTCCTGTCTCCGGCGTGCAAGGCGCAGCGGCAGCCGCTGTCCCACTCTGGGACCCCGGGGCTCAGCAGAATCAGCAGCCGCGCTTCTCAGGCGCGCCGCGGGCAGCCCAGAGGGCTCGACTGCGCCTGCGCGGGGCCCTTCCTCCGTCTCCGCGCCGGCGTCATGGCCGCCTCCGTGGCTGCCCAGGGTAGGAGCCTGCTGTGTGCTGGCACTGCTTGGCTGCGGCAAGGAGGCATCCGAGAGCTACTGCGGCCGCGAATTGAAGGGGGCACCCCGGGGCGTGACTTCAGTCTCTCTCATTGTCGGGTGAGGGCCGGCCGGGCTTGGGGTGGTAGACCGTGAAGGACAGGAGGGCGGCGGGCAGGGGCCGCTCCGTGGGGAGGGCGGCGGGCAGGGGCCGCTCCGTGGGGAGGGCGGCCGGCAGGGGCCGCTCCGTGGGGAGGGCGGCCGGCAGGGGCCGCTCCGTGGGGAGGGCGGCGGGCAGGGGCCGCTCCGTGGGGGAGGGCGGCCGGCAGGGGCCGCTCCGTGGGGAGGCCGCCTTTCCTTGGGATGCAGGTGACTGTGGCGGGTGGCGGGGCGTTCTGTGGACGCTCGCTCACCCCAGCTCCCCTGGCCGCCAGAGCACGGTCATCGTGGAGCGCTGGTGGAAAGTGCCGCTCGCCGGGGCGGGCCGGAAGCCGCGCCTGCACCGGCGACACCGCGTTTACAAACTGGTGGAGGACACGAAACACCGGCCCAAAGCCCCCCTGGAGCTCATCCTCACGCAGTCTGTGGACGGTAAGGCTTGGCCCGGACGCCGACACCCCGTGGGCTGCTCCTGTATGACGTTAACCTCTCCTGCTTCTCCTCATCTGTTTGCCTTATTTTTACTACTTTGTGGCTCCGGTGAAAATAAGAAGTCACGGAAGGTCCTGTGCTTTAGATACTGGCCTCCGGCACGGAACATTAAAACGTGTGGGCAATACTGTTAACTGTGAAGAAAATACCCAACAGTTTACATCACAAATAATGAAATCCTTTGGTTGAACAACTCAGTCCTGGTTCCTAATCAATGTATGATGGGGAGAAGGCCAAAGGTCGACCTTATCCTCTGATACAGGGCATACAGCTGAGCCCCAGAAAGCTGCCTGTTTTCTCCCCATTGTGCTAAGGTTATGGACCACTTGGGTCCTCTATGCCTTATAACTTGCCCCAGTGAACTGACATTTTTTTAAAGGAAGAATTAAAAACAGTGAGGAAATAAGGACTGTCTCTTTTTATGCCCCCCCCCCCATGCTGGAGATGGACCCCCAGAGCCTAAGTATGCTAAGGCAAGGCCTTTACCAGTAGACTACCCACAATGACCAGAGTTTTCATCTGTTCCTGTTCTCATTGGCAGAGATTGGAGTGCGGGGCGATCTGGTCTCGGTGAAGAAGTCTGTGGGTCGCAATAAACTCCTTGCTCAGGGGCTGGCTGTGTATGCCTCCCCTGAAAACAAGAAGCTGTTTGAAGAGGAGAGATTGGTGAGCCCAAAGGATATGGGGTAATGAAATGGTTCCTGCTGGGAGTTTGTTACTTAATTTGAAGGTGGAATAGGATCTAGACCAAGAACCCAGAAGCCCAGCATAGCTGAGCTGCTTTGACTTGATGTGGACACATTTCTTCTACTTTGTTTTCTCTTTTTCAGCTGAGACAAGAAGGAAAACTGGAGAAGATCCAGACAAAGGCAGGAGAGGCGGTAAGTAGGAAATTTTTACTGATTCCTTACAGAGGTCACCGACCTCCTGAGAGTCTCCCTGATGTCCTTCGTCTGCTGACTGTGACAAGGATGACAAAATAGTTTTTTGGCTGTTACTCTACATAGCTGGTATGAAGTCCTGGGTTTCCCTGTGTGGCCTTGACTGCCCTGGAGCTTACTCTGTAGACCAGGCTGGCCTCAAACTCAGATCTGCTTGCCTCTGCCTCCCCAGTGCTGGCATTTAAGGCATACTTTTTTACTTTGTTTAGGAAAATGTGCCAAATTTTTAATTTGCTACCTTCTTGCATTTGAAGTGCTCAGTGACATTCTTGGCCTGGGATTCTTTGTCAAAAGTGCTCTAGCTTTTGAGGGGGTCCCCAGGATGGGAATCAGGCTCTGTGGGAAAATGTAAGATGAGGACTCTGCCTTTGGGGAGTATTTACAGAGAGGTGAAGAGAATGTAGAGGCATGAGAAGGCAAACAGTAAACTGAAGACATTAAAGCAGGGGGTTTGGAGTTATTGGGGGAGGGAGACTTTTTTTTTTCATATAGTATTAAATTAGGCTTTTTCTAAGTTTGGGCAAACTAGGAAGTGTGAGTGAATATTTAAGGTATGTTGGGGGGTGTCATATACCTCAAGCTGGCCTTGAACTCCGTGTATAGCCAAGGCCTGCCCTGACCTAATTCTCCTTACTCTACCCTTCAGTTGGTGGGATCACAGCAGTTACCATGGATGCTGGGATCAAAACCAGGCCTCATGTAGGTTAGGCACACATCTATCAACAGCTCTAGGGAATATTTTTAAATGAAGATAGTCCAATCTACCTAAAGTAAAGGTTTATGTAATATAGCATTAGAAAATATACAGCTGGAAAGAGGGTTGGGACAAGATGTAAAAATTCGCTTCACTCTTCAAGTGATTTATACTTCATTTTATAAATAAGAAAGAGCCAGTGATAGAGTGTGAATAGAATTGGAATTCCATAGAATTCAGGTTAAAAGACTATTAAGAGTCACTTCACCCTGAGATATATAGGAGCCTTCATAGACGACCCTACCTTTATTATATTTGTGTATATGGGGCAGGGCACATGTGCAGCCCAGGGGACTGCCTGCATGAGTCAGTTCTCTCCTTCTTCCTCTTTGTGGGTCCTGGGGTCAGACTTGGGTCATCTGACTTGGCAACTGGCACCTTCGCCTACTGAGCCATTTTGCCAGCCCAAACCCTAAGCAAAGTTTCTCTTTGCTTAGAAACAGCAAGGTAGAGATGAAATGCCTTGTGGAGTCTTAGAAAATATCTTTTTTCCATATCAGAGTTGAGAAAAAAGAATTTTTCCCCCATTAATGGTTCCTTTTCACCTATCTTAGCTGCAGGGCAAAAATTATGCCTTTTTCCTGAACTCCCAGACCTTGTGACTCTAACATATTTCCCCCTTTAACTCCAACTCCTATTGACCCAGCCCTTATTTATAATTCTCTTTAGACAGTGAAATTTCTGAGAAGCTGTCATCTAGAGGTGGGAATGAAGAACAACGTCAAATGGGAGCTAAACCCTGAAATAGTTGCCCGTCACTTCTTCAAGAATGTGAGTGTTCCCTATCGGTATCCCCCTAGGTCAGAGCTAAACCCTGAAATAGTTGTCCATCACTTCCTCAAGAATGTGAGTGTTCCCTATCAGTATCCCCCTAGATCAGAGCCACCACTAGGTAGGAGACCCAGGCTTGGAACCCTTTACCAGCTGGAGTTGGGAATTGCTCTTGATTGGTTTGCAGGGAGAAAGGAGTGTAGCTAAGAATTAAAGTAGTTGCATACTTAAAAGCTAGTAGGAAAAAAACAATTCCATTTATTTTATCTCTAGCTAGGAAGAACCTGGGGATGTGACTTACTGGAGAATTGTTACTTTTGTGGATGTAGTGTTGGTCTGAAGACCTGTTCTGTTTGCAAATTTGACACCTTTGCTGTCTCCTGTGCACATCTGTGCCCTCCCGAGGTCAGCCAGAATCAGCTCCCCAGATGTCTTCATTCTGAGACACTCTGCTCTGGAAGACACTTCACCCTGGAGGCTGAAGGGTCTATCTCGGTGGTTCTCAGCCTGTGGGTTATAACCCCCATAAGGGCCACATATCAGATATCCTGCTTATCCAATATTATGAAGTAGCAACAAAATAATTTTATGGTTGGGGTCACCACACTTGAGGAACTCTATTAAAGGGTGGCAGCATTAGGAAGGTTAAGAACTACTGGTTTATCTGGGTGTTGGTTCTATTTTTCAGCTTGGTGTTGTGGTTGCCCCACATGCTCTGAAGTTACCAGAGGACCCTATCACGCGGTGGGGCGAGTACTGGTGTGATGTGACTGTGAGTGTTTCAAGGATTTTCTTCATTTGTTTGGGAGAAGAGTCAGCATGAAAAGCTGGATTGGGTGGTACTGGTTCGCCTGACTGATCTCTGCCTATTCCTGTTTTGAATGTGTGTTCAGGTAAATGGACTCGACACTGTAAGGGTTCCTATGTCCGTAGTGCTCTTTCAGAAGCCAAAGACCAAAAGATACAAGCACTGGTTAGCTCAACAAGCTTCCAAGAGCATGGCTCCCGCAAGCTCCCAGGATGTCTGAATGTCCTCTGCCTCCAAGACAAGCAGTCAGAAGAGTGTTGGAGCGAAGCAGGCCAGCACTTCAGGGTGTCCCAGCCCCGAGCAAGCATGGATCATAGAGAACATGGACTCAGCAGTAGACTGAACTGCACATACATGTAAGGCTGGCTGTGTTTGTCATCTCTGTCGTCAGTGTCGTCACAGCCAGCTGTATCAGAGGGGTCTGCAGGCAGTAGATTTCATAAGCCGAGTGTCCGTGAACTGAAAGTCTCCTTAGCCCTTCCTTCCATTGTGGAGGGCATGGGAACGAGTGAAGGGCCCAGCCGTGTTCTAACAATCTGTATTCTCGTCCAGACCGTGTTTCGTGCAGAAATAAAGAGCTGTTTAACTGCACTTGCGTTGACTGTGAGCGCGCTGTGAGTACGGTGTCTTGAGCCGTGGAGGAAAGTGTAACAGTCTGATGTGTCTGACGGTTGCCATGAGCAAACTACTCCAATGTAGCCAATTATGCCTGCTCTTAAAACTTTCTCTCTGCGTGAGTAATGCAGTGGGTTCCACTAACATGTTAAGGCCTAAGGATGACTGATGGAGAAAGTGAAGCTGCATTAAAGAAGCTTAAAAGGAGAAAGAACTTCTGTATTATTTCTTAACCAGCTCCTGACTTTGGGCCAAGGATAAGCCTGAGGTCATTCAAGAATAGAGATCACCTAGCCCTGCCTCCTTAGTGCTGGGACCGATGCCATGTGCCACCCCTGCCCATGAAACAGGGTTCCTCTGTGTAGCCCTGGCTGGCCTGGAACTCACTATGTAGACCAGATCTGCCTGTCTCTGCCTCCCCTGTGCTGGGATTAAAGGCATGTTCCACCACCACCCACCCCATACACACACAAAAAGCACTTGTTTTCAGTTACTAGTCTATATATTAAGCACTGCCCACAATTAGTTTCTTGCCCAAAGCTGAGAGCAGCACTAGTTTAGGGGCTTAAACTTCAGTGTGGAATGACTGTTGAATGTCCAACCCTGAGTGGGATGCTTCTGTCGCCTCCTCTAAGACTAGGGTACACTGAGGAATAGAACAGAACAGTTCTAAGATTGGGGGTAGGGATGAGAGGGAAGAGTGCTAGAGATGCTACAATCTAAACATGTCACAGCCATTGTTGTGAATAGCAATAATTACTACTACCTGCACAAAACCTACATACACAAAAAGACAATGGAGTAGAGCATGATGCCATACACATTTAATCCCAACTCTGAAGAGGCAGAGGCCGGGGGATCTTCCTATGAGTTGGCGGCCAGCTGCTGGTCGGCCAGGACTACACAGTTAGACCATGTCTCAAAAAAAAAAAGCATGAGGGAGTGGAGCGATGGCTCAGGGGTTAAGAGTACTGCTCCTGCACAGGAATGGTGCGCTTTCAGGCACTGTACACACATGGTAGACACATGCAGACAAAACACACATGTAAAAATAAATAACATTTTTAAAAAAGATGGGGCTGGAGAGATGGCTTAGTGGTTAGAGTACTTGTCCCTGCAGAGGACCCAGGCTCAGTTCCTAGTGTTCATGTACCAGCTTACAACCATCCATAACACCAGCTCCAGGGGATCTGATGCCCTCTTCTATCTCTGGTCACACAAAGCATGCATATGGTGCCCATACATATGTAAGCAAAATAGTCATGCACATAAAAAATATTGTTTGAATACTTTCATGGTCATGTTGTTTTTCGAGACAGGGTTTCTCCGTAGCTTTGGAGCCTGTCCTGGAACTCACTCTGTAGACCAGGCTAGCCTCAAACTCACAAGTGCTGGGATTAAAGGTGTATGGTTATTTTCTTTTTTAAAAAAAGAAAAGAGAAAGCCGGGCGTTGGTGGCGCACGCCTTTAATCCCAGCACTCGGGAGGCAGAGGCAGGCGGATCTCTGTGAGTTCGAGACCAGCCTGGACTACCGAGCGAGTTCCAGGACAGCCTCCAAAGCCACAGAGAAACCCTGTCTCAAAAAACCAAAAAAAAAAAAAGAAAAGAGAAAAGAGAAATGAAAGTGACGTGATTGGTTAGAAAAAATAAGGGATCAGCAGTAGGAGACGAGGTGGTGAGGGGAATTATGATCACAATTAATGGTATCCGTGTATAAAATTGCTCAAAAGATAAATTTTTAGAAAGCTCGTTTCTAAGCAGGTGAAATAATACATAGTTAAAGCAGAAACGGAAGTGCAGGTGTGAGGAGAGACCCAGCAAAGCCCCTTCTCCCCATTGGTGGAAAAGCTCAACAGAATAAAACTGGCTGGCTGGTTTCATTTTGCTTCCCACCTGCTTAAGCTGAGGCTTCTCTTTCCTCCTGTTGAACTGAGAGTTATACCATCAGCTCCCCTGAACCCAAGCCTCAGACTCACTGAATTACACACTGACTTTCCAGTCTCTGGCTGGCAGGTGGCAGATGGTCACACTTTGCAGCCTCTCCAGTTCCTGCACAGCTGGCCCCTGTATGTGAGGTCCCCCCAAGACAGGGTTTCTCTTTGTAACCCTAGCTGTCCTGAAACTCACTCTGTAGAGCAGACTGGTCTTGAACTCACAGAGATCCACCTGCCTCTGCCTCCTGTGTGCTGGGATTAAAGGCTTGTATGTGCAGTTTCTAAACCAACATCTGACCAACTGTAGGTGACATGTTTGGGGTGGGGGTTGTGGGAATACTAGAAATTTTCCAAAAAAAAAAAAGAATATTGGATTTGTATACAGCAAGCTCTACACTAAATCTCTACAAATAAAGTGATCTATGGTGCTGCTCCCTGAAGTGATCTGTGGTGTGCCCTGCTGCTGTCTCTATATTCTGACAGATCTTTCTCTTGAGCTCTCCGGTTACTGTGTCTCCTCCATATATTATGTTAGGCTTATTATACAGGTTCATATATATACTGGGCATATACTGTATGGGTCATCTTCCCATGATGTAAGACTTAGTATACTGACAAGGGTCCTACTTGGTGTTATTTTCTATAGGATGGCTCTGAGAAAAAGCCAGGGCTCCCATTAAATGACAAATGACAGGACTTCTGTGGCAGTGTGTGGTGGAAGAGGTGTGGAAGTGGCTCAAAAGAGTGTGGTGGTGGGGCTGGCGAGATGGCTCAGAGGTTAAGAGCACTGACTGCTCTTCCAGAGGTCCTGAGTTCAATTCCCAGCAACCACATGGTGGCTCACAACCATCCATAAAGATAGCTGGTGCCCTCTTCTGATGTGTAGATGTACATGGAGGCAGGATGTTGTATTCATAATAAATAAAATCTTAAAAAAAAAAAGAGTGTGGTGGTGGCCTGTAAGCCTAGCACTTGGGAGACGGGGCAGCAGGGTTGGAAGTTTAAAGATAGCCTGGACTACATATTGAGACCCTGGCTCAACAAACAAATAAAGGGTTGGGCATGGTGTCCCATGTCTTTAATCCCAACACTCAGGAGGCAGGCAGATCTCAGGTGGATCTCTAAGTTTGAGGCCAGCCTGGTCTACAAGACAAGCCAGGGCTACATAGAGAAACCATGTCTAGATAGATAGATAGATAGATAGATAGATAGATAGATAGATAGATAGATGTAGGCATGTGTACTGGTTAGCTTTAGTTGCCAAATTAATGCAGCCTAGAATCATCTGAGAGAGCGTCTCAAAGGAGTGTCTAGACCAGACTGGCCGTGGGGATTGTCGTGATTGTTAATGGATGCAGAAGGACCTAGCCCACTATGGGCAGCACCCTTTCCCAGGCAGGTGGTTCTAGGCTGGGTAGAAAAACTATCTAAACACAAACCTGTAGATTCCCATGGGTTGCTGGACAGCCAGTCTAACTGACATAGTGAATTCTAGATTTAGTCAGAAACCCTGATCAAAAAATAATATGGAGCGCAAAAGAGGAAAAGAACCACATTGATCTGTGACTTATGCACACACACACACATGTACCCACATGCATAGGTGCACACACATACAAAGGAAAACTGCTGTGAAGTAATCCTTTTGTACACTGTGAAGATGTTTTGCTTTTTTTAAGATTTACTACATTTCAGTGTTCTGTCTGCATAGAAGAGGGCATCGAGCTGTGAGCCACCGTGTGGTTGCTGGGAATCGAACTCATGTCCTCTGGAAGAGAAGCCAGTGCTCTTAACCTGTGAGCCATCTCTCCAGCCCCCGATGTTTTGCTCTTATTGGTTTAATAAAGAGCTAACTGGCCAATAAGTATGCGGGAAGAGGTTAGGGGGGAAAGCCAGACTGAGACTGATGGGAAGAAGGTCACCAGCCAGATGCAGAGGAAGCAGGATGAGCAGAATGAGATAACAGGCCATGAGCCACGTGACAGCACATAAGTTAACATGGATTGATTTAAGTCGTAAGAGCTAGTTAGTAACAAACTATGATATAGGCCAAGCATCTATAATTAATAATAAGTCTTTGTGTGGTTATTTGGGAGCTAGCTGGTGGTTCAGAAAGGTCTGACTACAGAAAACTATAAGTTGGTCAGAGGCCTAAATGAAGAGACATTTACCGTATCAGTAAAGATGTCTTTGGGGTTCTCTAATGGAACATATTCATTTGGTGACATTTCTGACTTCACGTAACATTCTTTGGGATGTTGTTCTACTTCCCTTCCTGTTGCTGACCAAAGGCAACATAGGGGAAGAAACGATTTACGTGGCTCATACTTTCAGGTAACAGTCCATCATTGAGAGATGTCAGGGAGTGACTCAAACAGAAACCATGGTATAACCCTGCTCTCCTCAGTTCTGTATCCTCAGCATCCCAACCCAACTATTCTCTTCCATCCCCAGCCTATAAATGGTACATGCTGGCTAAGCTCTCTACTAGCTCTGAGGCCTTCAATCAATCAATAGCTCTTTCTTCCCTTCCTCTTCCCTCCCCTCCCCCCTTCCTTCTCTGTTTTTTGAGACAGGGTCTCTTTGCAAAGCCCTGGCTGTCCTTTTCATGTGGATCCCGGTATCCAACTCAGGTGATCAGTTCATCAGTAAATGCTTTATCCACTGGGTTTGCCTTTGAGACAGGGCCTCCAGCATCCTTTAACTCATGTGTAGCCAAGGGAGACCTTGAGCTCCTCTCTGATCCTCCTGGCTCCACTTCCTGAAGTTACACCCCCACCTGGTTTGGTTAGCTGGATTTTGATGAGACTTAATCCTAATTATTGCTTGGAGGTCACAAGTGGAGGTGAGATAAATTTAAAAAGGAGCGTGTGAGGGGTTGGGGAGACGGCTCAGGCAGCAAAGCACAGTGAAGTTGCTGCAAGCATGAGGACCTGAGTTTGGATCCCAGCACCCAGGTAAAAAAGTCAGACATGTAAGGTGGAGAAACAATTACAGAAGACAACAGATGTTGCCCTCTGGTCTCTATATACATATGCACA